CTTTGGACTTAAAGAGCGGGAAGTCAAAACTCAGGAAGGACAACCACATAGACCCGATGGGGTGTTTGATCATCTATTTCAATATTATCGTCTTCATTTTCAGCACACTGGGATCTTAAATAAATAAATACAAGATTCAATAAATAAAATAAAAAATAACAAATGTAAAAAAGTAGGATATATTCTGCTTTTCTGCTTGAAACAAGATTGTTTAGTTTTACTGAATGAAAAAATAGTCATTTTAAAACTGAAACATTAACTCAGAGTATATATATCTCCTAGTTTTGGTCAGTCAGGTTTACTAAAATAACTTCTGTTTTATTTATGCCAGAATAATGAGATTATTCTTTTTATTATTCACAATATCTGAAAAATTAGATAAACTGCAAAAATGATCTAGAAATAAGTCAACATTTTCTAAATTCAGTGTATTTACCCTTAATTTCAGCAGGTAAAAAAGAGGATTTGCCAATGGAATGAGTATTTCTACTCTTAAAATAAGAAAATTAGATAATATGCACTTGAAATAAGACAATGCAATTGTTTTTTCTTATTTTAAATGTAAATTGTGTTGATCTATTGGCAAAGTTTCACACTTACCTCCTGAATTCAAGAGAAAAAACACACTTATTTTAAGAAAAAATTACTTGTTGAGATTAAAATTTTTTCCAGTGTAAAAAGGCCAGATAGTGATGCAATGGTCTTTATACATTTCTAATAGGTTAACTTTGAACATTTAAATAAAATATAAGCAAATATAAAGATGAATTGAAAGGCAAAGACATATCTTTGTAATGAGACAGAACCGATAATGAGACAGCAGAGTAATGTTGACCTCCACAAGTCTGGTTTATTGGCTTTTTATTAGCAAACTGCTTAGATTAATAGTATATAAATACATGGAGGCAGTGCACCCAATGGGATATGCCATGTAACATCACCAGTTTTGATCAGAGAAGCTGAAAGGGGACAAACTCCTGCATCTATAAATTTGTTTCTCCTAAGGGGATGTCCTGGAGATAGGGATCTTTTGATGGATTATAGATTACATACATTTTGGGAGAAGTTTTCTGATTCAAAGTACTTTTTGGACTTAACGACCCCCGTCCATCACCTAATCTGATCAATATGGGGGTAGGAACATCATGTTGTGGGTACTTTGCTGCAGGGGTATGGGACACTGTTTGTAAAGTTAAGCAGTCAAAAATTAGGAGCAATATTCATGGTTATTTATTTATTTATTTATTCAGGAGAAAAATAAGAGGGGTATTTTTTTCCACAAGTCATTTTTTTACTATGTCATTCATTCATTTATAAAAACCTTCCTTTGTTAAATAAATATTTAGTTTGGAGCTTAATATTTAATTTGCTAATTAAATATTTAGTTTTTTTTTTTTAATATTTAGCTCCAAATTAAATATTTATTTCACAAAGAAAATATTTAGCTTGCACCAAGCGAGCTAAATATTTGTCTAGCTTTGCGATAGCTAAATATTCAGCAAATATGCAAATTCCCTTGCCAAAAAGTGAACTAAATATGTAGTTTGCCAACTAAATATTTAGCTTAAAACTAAATATTATTTATCAAAGTAAGATTTGTATAAATAGAAATAGTGAAAACATGAATTGGAAAAAAATTATCCCCCTTATTTTTTCTCTTAAAACACAACAAATAACCATAAGTGTTACTCCTAATTTTTGACTGCTTAACTTTGGAGCCTTTTTACAAAATAGATAACATCAAGAGGGAAGAATGTTTTGTAAAAATACTGAAGCAACATCTTCAACGTCTTCAGAATACACAATAACTCTAAGCCTATGTATGCTTAAGCATATGGAGCAATTATTTTCTAACTTCTTAAAGGACAACAAGGTCAAAGTGATGGAGGAGCAACACAAAGACCTGATATCAGTCCTATTGTTACTGAAGCCAGAGATAAGAGGGTGTGTTTGAGCAGAGAAGCCAAATAAAACCAGCATGCTTCTGGAAAAAGAGATTTTTGATCCCTACAAAGTATTTTGAGGTAAAATAGAGCTTGAAAAAAAAAAAAAAAAACTGACTTAGCCATAGCAGTTCTGTCAAGAGGAATTTTCCAAAAATCTTTTTTTTTAGAAAGATAGATTAAAGAAATAAATCTAAAACAAAGATTCTCTCATAATTCCGACATAAAGGAAATACAAATCATTTTGGTAATCTACACTGACCCTAAAAAGGAAAAACTTCAGTCTGTCTTAATGACAGCCGGACAAAATAATGGCAATTTTTTCTGTACGTTGAAGGTAAAGTCCTGGTTTCAAATAAGATAACATAAAGTGCAATTTGGTCACATGCAAAACACTGCTGTTTATTGTTTACAGGATCCTGAGAGATAAAATGAGATGTCTATCTGAAATCATTGTAAACATATCAGTCTAGTCATGAAAACTAAACACAGAAAAGACCCACGGATTGAAGCTGTGCGCCATAAAACGTCCGGTGTTATGCCACGTTGTCCACAAGGTGACAGTCTAAGACAAGTCTGTAAGCTAGTGTCCTGACACCACATTTTAACACACAACAACAACAACAACAACAAACAAGACCTCATCACTAAGGTTCTCTCTTTAGCCTAATATATTCTAACAGTAGCGTTACAGGGCTGGGCACTGATGGATTGCATATTGTTTCACATAAAGTAAAAGAAAACAACAAGTATGATCACATGGCCCTTAAAAAAAAAAAAACACTGACATCTCCTTTTTTTCTACCTTAAAGGACCCAAGAAACTGCTGTTTTGCATAAATAAAAAAGAGCGACCCTTAAGAACGAGCTCTCCTCTAAGTGCTACTTTCCATGTGCATCGTTGCTCACTGCCACACTCTGAGAAAACATATGTTAATCTAAAATATATAATTGCACACATCACTATAATTTGCAGAGACCACTTTGTAAATAAAATAAAATGTCTACTTTTTTCTGTTTTCGACTGTAGCACGATGTAAACTTAGAAACCAGGGAGACGCAAAGATACAGCAAAAAAGTGGCCTTGGCAGCAGATTGCATAGTGTCCCTGGGCAACTTCATCCAACTACCTCTGTAAATCCATCTGATGATCAGCTCTTAGACACATCGGACGTAAAATATTACCCATCCTTCAAATCCCCCCACAAAAGTATTTTGGTTATTTGGTCCAGTTTCTGCAGAGATTCCTCAATGCATAAAACTACAGTGCCTCACAAAAGCATTTACACCCCTTGAAATTTTAGGGAACTTACAAACCCTTATTCTGTTGTATTTTATGTGATAGACCTACACACATCAGTGTGTGATTGTGACATAAAGGGAATATACAGTAAAACCTTTGAGTTGTTCAGATTCCAGCTTCTTTCATCTTTCCATTGGTATTTTCATAGTTTATTACCTGTGGTTAGAGGCATTGGGTCAGGGACCCGTATAAAATGTACATCTACTGGTAAAAAAAAATACATTTCACGGGTAGGTGCATGAGTATATATGAAAAAATTTATGAAATGTATTTATATTTTCTTATTCATTACCTCTACACCTTAAAAATTAAACTGAATCAAGAATCTCCAGATAACAGTAGTTTTTAAGCCACAGAGCAAACTTTCTTACATTGGCTAATTTACAGCTGTTAATCTGTTAGCATAGCATGTACTGGATGTGAGCGTGAGGCAATGTTTTTTACTGCCTCTGTTATTATAAACGACTTTTTCTACACTTTGCGTTATTTACGGGTCTGAGCGGTCCCAGATAATTGTGGGTAACGGGTCGGACGGATACAGTTTTGAAAAATCAGACCTGTGCAGGACTCTGGTTCCAAGCAAAGATGGAAGGGCTCTTTGCCATCACCCTAATTTTTAGCTTGCAACAGAGACGCCTTTTTAAGCATATTCAAAACTGATCCTTGACCTGGGTGGAACATACCAACAAGTTAAAGGGGCTCAGTAACTTATTTTTATATATATATATATAAAAAGCAAACTATAGGATGAAGTTTAAATAAACCAATATACATCAAGCATTCATCCTGATAGTGTTTACTTAGTGCTTTTGGAACCTGAAAAGAAATTTTGCACTAGGCAATGAGCAGACTGATCACTGTGGCCATCTACTAGCACTACCTACTCATGTATCCATCAACTTGGAAGCTTCTAAGACCCTAGCTTCAATTTCAAGCTACGCTGTGTTATAATTAATGTAGTAAATGTAGTATATTATACAGAAGTATCTTGGTTATTATCATCTGCAAACTGAAACTGATTTTGCATGATACAGGCCCTCTCAGTACAACTATAAACGTAAAAACTCCAAGACTCAAAGACTCCAATGGACCAATCTGTTATGGTTTCTGTGTCAATGCATATATATATATATATATATATATATATATATATATATATATATATATATATATATATATATATATATATGAAAACCAGAGATGGGAAGTAACAAAGTACAAATACTTCGTTACTGTACTCAGGTAGATTTTTCTGATATTTTTACTTTACTTTACTACTTATTTTTATGGCGACTTTTTACTTCTACTCCTTACATTTTTACAAAAATATCTGTACTTTCTACTCCTTACATTTTTAAAAATTGGCTCGTTACTTTAGTTTTGAATCATTTCAATGGAGTTACCGTTATTATTTTTCACGTCATCAATACCAAATTCAATCTAATTGGATGGGAATCTACGTTGCATTTGACGCACCACTACAAGATGAATCGACAGATTCGGCGGTATTCATTCGCGGCAAATCACTGCAGCTTGGTGGCGGTGGCGTTAGCATAGTAGCATGGACGACGAGATGATTGAAAATGAACACAACGGAGATCTAGTCCTATTGGCAGACATCCACTTAAAATGTAGGCAACGGCATGAAAAAAGTGGTTTCTACTTTTACTTTTATACTTTAAGTAAATTTACAAGCCTGTACTTTGTTACTTTTACTTGAGTAAAGAAGTTTAATCAGTACTTCCACTTTTACCAGAGTATTTTTTAACACAAGTATCTGTACTTTTACTCAAGTACGGAAAGTGAGTACTTTTGCCATCTCTGATGAAAACAAACACTTGACCTAAAACTGAACACCCAATCCAAAAAACATGCTGTCAACAACATAGAGGGGCATTATTTTGTTTAGCATGGCTGATAAGAGTTTATGAAAAGACAGCAAATAACAGGAAGAAAACCTGCTAGACAATGAAAAAAGCTTGAAATGATCCTGCAGCAGTGGTAACAGATTTTTCGGAAAGAAGATGGCAAACCTGAAATTCAACTCAAGAAAATCCAATTCAAGAAAAATAGTTGTTCTCAATCCAGTCTGATGGAAGGTACCCGGTAAGCTATTTTGCAAAAGAAATTGGGAGGAACTATCATTCTCCACATGTGCAAAAAGCTGTGACACATTTCAAGGGGCATTTTGCAAGGCACTGTAATCCTATGTGTGTCAGGCATTAAAACTCAATCTGCTGGTTCCTCATTCAGCTTTTTTGGACCTGAATTTCAAATAAATACAGCAAAGAACTGAATAACTTCAGCTAAACTCAGCTAAAATGCAAGTAATGCCCTTTTCTAACAGAATCCTACTGTCAACACAGTCAAAAGTCTGCTTGACAAGTTGAAACATTGTTCACAGTGTTTTCTATCTCAAGGTCTGAATGATAAGTTTCCTCTTTTTAAATGGTCTTCCATTCTCTGTAAGACATGCATTAAAGACATATGCTTTTTTTTTTTATACAATATACACCACGTGGAGATGAGCATACAGTACATACACAGCTCTACATCAACAAACCATGTGCACATTTCTCAAGAGTAGCTGATCATTGCTGAGCTCTTTTTTACTCCTTTTAAATTTTCTATTTTATTTTGTTCAGGCATTTTTCTCTTTGCATCATACAAATTCATGACATTTCAGTCTGATGCTACAGTTAAAGGCATTACATGGGATACTCTTTGAGTTTCAGAGGCTTTTGCATCATGAGTGATGTTTAGAGCTTCGAATGTTACCTTTATCAGAGTGAACAGCGGCTGCGGTGGAGCCCTGAGGCCCCCGGCGGCCCCCCGTAGATGAGGCCTCTGCTTTCCCCGCCGTGCTTCCCTTCTTCTCCTCACCTGACTTTGACGTGTCTTTCATCTTCCCGCCTTCTTGAGACCCTCCTTTAATGGGTCCGAGTACTGTTTTAGCCACGGTTGTGAGCTGGGTGACGAAGCTGGTTTTGTCCCCCGGAGACATGGACCGGGACTTGTTTGAGCAGGGGGACGCTGCGTTGGATGAAGGAGATGCTGGGTTTTCCTCCAGGACTTCCAGCTGTGTCTTCTCCTCTTTGATCCCACAGTTCCCGTTCGCTGACCTCTCCGCTCTGTGTCTGGATGCAGGGTGTGTCTGAGTTGGACCAGGGAATAAAGGTACTTTGGCCTTGGTTGCATCAGTCGCTCTGACGTTTCCGCCTATTCCTTCTTTATCTCCGGTCTCTGAGCCTTTACGCTGCCTGAATTGCTCAATGGTTGCTGTTTTCTGCACATTTTCTTTCTCTACAACCAAAGTGCCTTTTTCTTTTCCTTCCGTCTTCTCCTGAGCTTTAGTAGCACGCCCCTCTTCGATCTGTGCGCTGTGCAGCCTAGATGTGCCTGGAGTTAAGCTCTTCTCAGTGGCTTTGGTCTGAAAGGCTGTTGCCTCTGAAGTTAATGCTTTTACGCTTACCTGTTTGATACCAGAGCCTGTTTTGATGTCCGCAGATAAGGTAATAGACTTCATTTCAGCTGCATTCGTGATTCCATTGCCCCCTGCAGCCTCTTTGGTTGACGGTTTGCTTTTATCAACATCTGCTGGAGGAACTGCACTTTGCAACCCAGAGGGCTCAGGTGCTGATGTTCTAGAGTCTTTTTCCTTTGCTGTCACAATTGTGTCTCTGCTGAGTAGGGATTCCTGCCTTCCCAGCCTCCTCACATGGCTCAGGCCTCCAATGTCTGCTCCCATTGGAGGAGAAGGGGAGGAAGAAGATGATGGAGAGGGAGGAGCCGGTCCGTTCTCTCCTTCTATCTCTAACAAACTTTGCAGGCTGTGTTCACAGTGGAAGGACTCTCGTCTGTAGTCCCCATGGGACACCTCCAGACTATGCTTACGCAATGACACCCCTCCCGTCAAAGGGGAAGGTGTTGACGATGATGAAGAGGAGGAGGGTAGGATGGGCCCCCCGAGCTTTTCTGCAGACTGCACCCGCTGCAGAAGGGGGGACCTGGGCGGTTCAGCACTCTTGGGACGAGGACGGGCAACGGGAGGCGAGGAGTGGAGCTTGGCAGGGAACGTTTGGGTGGTGTTGGAGCTACCCACCGTGTGGCCCGTAAGAGGCGGAGGAGAAGACGTGGTCGGGGACGGGGTGTGAGCCAGAGGGGACAGTGGGATGTTACCAGCGGATTTGCAGCGCGCAGAGCGGTACTGGCGGTGGAGTTTGGGGGAAAGGCCGTGCAGGGAGCTGGGCCTCATGTGGTGGGAGGTAGCAGGGGAGTTTGGGGTGCTTGATGCCGGAGAGCTGCTCTGGGACGACGTGCCTGAGGAGACATTTATTTACATCCTTATTAACAACATTATTTCTTATTTATTCCAATAGTTCAATTCAAAATATGAAAATCATCAAAGGGATTTACCGCAAACAGATTAATATATTTAATTCATTCATGCTTCTCCATAGAATGCGCTGTAGATTCCCTGTGGGGTTTTGATTGGGGAAAACTTCAAGCAAAGTCATATCAAGGGGTTTAATTTTAACAAAAGACTTTATTTGAAAAATAGTTATTTTCAATGTAACTGCAATACAGTAAAAATACTGTAAGCTGTTTTATTTTTATTTTCTGTATTTTAAAAAATATTGTCACACAAACGTCCCCGTGTTGTATATGCTGCAATGCATTCTGGGTAAAAAAAAAAAAAACATATGTTAGGTCACTTAGAGTTAGCTCTGTCCAACCAAAACAGTTTCAAACTGAAGTTGTTTACGGGAAACATTTGTCACGGTTTTAGTTCTGTTTAAGTGTTCTTTTGAGTTTTCCGTTTCACTTTGATCCATGTTTTTCTGTGTTTTCTAGTTCTATTGGTTTAATTGCTATTTGTGGTGTTTTCAGGAGGTATTTGAGTTCTTAGCATTTGTTTGCGTAAAAATTCAAAAATATCCAGTGGGCTTGATTTCCTAGATTTGAAGACGTTTCGCCACCTCTCCAGGAAGCTTTCTCAGTTCAAATATCTGGATCCGCAGTGAGTTTGAGTCTTATATAGACAAAGCCTTGTATCGCTTGGAAACATGCAAATGGTAACCGATGAATGGGTCGTTTTGTTCCATTGTTAGCCTGTAATATCTGAAACCTGTCTATGATTCTGAGGGTCGGTCGTTAAAGGGGGGGATTGGCATTTCTTGTTTGCCCTGTGTTGCCCTCTTCTATCAGCCTCCTTCTCCTAGCTCCCTTCTAGACTCCTCTGTTCACACCTGCTCCCAATCTGCTGATTAGCCTAATCTTTGTTTCTCTTGCCCCAAATTTTCACCTTCGACTCAGTCACTGTTGCTGGTGTGTCGTCATTTCTTTGCCCCCTTGTTGAGTGAGTATTCCTGATTTTTTTATATTTTTGGATTTTGTGGATTTATTTTTTCGGATTTTTGCTTCTGTTACCCTTTTTTTGGATAAATAAAGCTTGCAAGATAGTTAAACTAGTAGTTCAACTAGTCATGGATCCCTTTAAAGCCAGGCATACACTGTGCGATTTTTTTCAATCGTTGCACGCAGCTCCCACTGTGGTTTTGTCGCACAGTTTGAGTTCACAGCTCACGATGTATGTGCAGCATGACGCTCTGATGCAATCTACCTGCTCACACTGTACGTCTAAAAACCAGGTCGGATTCAGCTCCGGAGTGAGCTGGCGCTACTCTGACTCGTTTATCCAGAAGCCAAACGAGTAGAAGCGGAATATGAAGCTCACTAGAGTGAAACGCACTGGCAATTTGTGCAATTTTGTGCTGAAAGCCCTAAAAAGAAAATGCGACGACGTATTGTGACAAATACATGGCTACTACGGTCTGTTCATTTTACAGAATTAACTCTATTTCACTTGCACCTCCACCATGCTTCTTGGTTTACATCTGAGAAGAAGAGGAGTCCTTGTTTGTGCATGCCCTCTAAGCGATTTTCCCACGACAGCAGACTGAAAATCAAACATGTTTTCTCCCGACCTCCCGATTCCTGATTGGGAGGTGGTTATGAGAGGCTGATCCGCCCCCGTTACCCCCTGAAAGTCGGGCTGATCGGAAAATTCTCGTACGACTGGAAAGCCACCCTGAAAAGGGCAAAAAAATTGCACAGTGTAAGCCCTGCTTAAAGCAGGTGTTGATACTTTTGGTTGTATCTGCAAGTTCCAAGGTAGGCTTGGAAATAAAGTCACCACGAAGCTCTTTAGTAGAGGGAAGCAAGAAATGCTCTGACATCTCCTGAACACCAACCAACATAGCTACACATATCTTCATTGACTGTTAAAAACTTTGCATTGAATTCCAGCAAAGTTGGATTCTCTGCCTCTCCACTCTTCTGAAACACGTTGGGATCACTTTGGGACATTGCGCTTGGAATCCAGAGGTTCTGAGTTCAAGCCACACTGCTTCTCGGGCGCCCCATGATGGCAGCCCTCTGTTCCAAGAGGATGGGTTAAATGCAGAGAGTTGATTTCATTGCTCTGTACTTGTGACAGTGTAATGAAAATAAAAATGCTGAAAAAAAAGAATATTAGTGGCTTAAAGGAATAGTACACCCAAAACATGATTAGCCTTCATTTTCTACTCACCCCCATGCTGAACAACACCCTGGAGTACTTTTTTGATATCTCAAATGCATCTGGAGATCTGGGAGGCTTCTTGCTGTCTGCTGACATTCAAATAATGGAGGTGCCCAGCGCCCGAGGCAGAAAGGTCTATAAAAGTCCACAAAAAACGTTTCAATATTCCTCCATACTGCTCGTCTAAATGACTTCGTTTCGAGTAAATTCTGGATGCTACCCACTCAGGACACTTGGAATACATTGGACGAGCAGTATGGAGGAATATTGACACGTTTTTTGTGGACTTTTATGGACCTTTCTGTCTCGGACACCATAGACCTCCATTATTTGAATGTCAGCAGACAGCAAGAAGCCTCCCAGATCTCCAGATGCATTTGAGATATCAAAAAAGTACTCCAGAGTGTTGTTCAGCATGGGGGTGAGTAGAAAATGAAGGCTAATCATGTTTTGGGTGTACTATTCCTTTAAGAATGGATGTATTGGATAGGCCTGTGTAAGCATCTTATTTACCTACATTTTTCCTTCCTCTCAACTTTCCGATCACTGGCTGCTGTATAAAGTTTCTTATATTTCTGTGGGAAATAACAAACCTTTTTTGTAAAACTCCTTTTTTATTAGACTAATTTGATATTACATTTAATCAATGGTGTCACGACACACAAATAAACATTATCTGGGTTGGCCCATATGAAGTACAACACCCCATCTACCCCAAGGTCCGGTCAGCTCAGCTAGTATCAGGTGGGTTTAAGAGGAATTTTTTGCATTACATCTGCAAAGAGACGGTGTCAGTGACGGGGCCCCTAAGAGGTCGGGGGCCCCTAAGCAACTGCAGTCTCTGCTTACCGATAGTTATGCCATTGTATTTAATCTATAATGAATTTTCACAGTTTCATTTGCTGTATAGTTTATGCTTATGTTTAACGAGTCTGTGTTTCTTTTAAAGCTCTATTAATGCATTAACAGTCTCTATACTTTATCTTTTCTTAAATATCTCTGATTAGTTCTGGGTTGGGATCAAAGATGCAGAAGAGGTGTTTTACTAACCCAGATATGGGGATTCCAGAGTAGAGCGGTAACTTTGTGTAGGAGAGCGGGCGGAGAAGCTGTGGGTGGGGGATCCTGGCAGGCTGTCTCCGGAAGACAGCGAACGATTCAAGGAGGAGAGGCTGCGACTTGTTTGGAGAAGGCTGGACTGCTTTGTGATCTTCCTGAAGAGCGAGCTGCGTTTCTTACTAAAAGAAAAGAAAAAAACAAACAAAACAAAGTGAGTTAAACCTTACAGAGTCTGTAATCCAACCCCGTACTTCTGTTATATGAGGACTTACTCTTGTCCCTCCTTGACTCCCGTCCTTTTGCTGCGACGCGCCATTTTGGATTTGTAGCTGGACTTGCGGGCGGGCCCTACTTTTATGGAGGTGTTCTCAAAGGGAGTGGTTGTGACTGTGACCTTGTTTCCACTCTGTGGATCACACGTTTACTTACATATTTTTAACCGATCAACATATAAGCAAAACCTTTATGTCATCTTATATGTTTAGTTTGTTGTTTTTTTACCTTCAGGATGAGCTCCACTACTTCTGTATGGACAAGACCATGGACTGACTCGCCGTTTACATGAGTAATGAGATCCCCAGCTTTGAGTCCAGCCTCCTGAGCAGGACCTCCATCCTCGACATGCTGCAATAGAAGCGGGTAGTTTTATATAAATGAGACAGAGATTAAAATGCAAGTACACCAAGCAAGCCAGGTATGTTTGCAGTGACAGAACACATTTCGTCACGGTACAACAATTCATTTAAATGGATTTTAAGTAGTCGTGGGCTGTTATCGGCATTAACGGCAGACTCTTATAGGGCAATAAACCAAATATTAATTTATTCTCAAAGTTGGGTTTGGAGCTTTGATATTGTAGCATGTTTGCCAGCAGGTAACTCATGCTGTAATCAAGGTCCAGTCGCGATGTTCTTTATTTATGCGATACAAAAAACAGGAAATGCTTGTTCCCATGTGTGCAACTGATAAAACATTGTTCCAAGGTACTGATGTTAAAACTTCAACCTGCAGAACATAATGCACCACTTTGTCCTGTTATGTCACATAAAACCCCAATAGAAGACTTGGAAGTTTTTGGCTCCAACTTGATGAATGAGTGAGAAGGATTATCCAATTTTCGGAGGCTCTGTTCACCCGCCTTCACCCGCTTCATATCTGTTCTTACCCAGACCATGTGGTGCACGCTGTAGACGTCACTGTCTCCTATGTACACGCGGATTGCTCGGAGGGTGAAACCATACTTCTTGCCAGAGCGGTGGATGGTGATCGGAGAGTGCAGAACGTTCACCATGGGACAGAAATCTCTGCTTGGAGAGGAGTCCCGGGAGGAGGGATTGGACGAGAGGGAGCGAGGAGACATGGGGCTGGGCAGCGGGGAGGCACCGTGCTGCTCCACTGAGAATAGAAAGAACAGTGTTCAGATTTTTCTTCCCAACTCTTTTTTTTATAATTTCCTGATCAAGTGATCTGAGGCGTCACCTGCTGGAATGATGACAGACAGCGCAGTAGCTGAAGCAGATTTGATGACTTTAGTCCCTGGACGTGAGCTATGCTTTTCTCCTTCAGACGACAGCTGCTGGTGTCGAACCCTTCGCAGTACCAGGTCTGTAGCGGCCCCACGGGGCCCCTGAAGATCAGGCAGTCCCAGACTGCTTGTGCTGCCTGGCAGCGGCAACGATGACTCAGGTCTCAAAACTTTGTCTGTGAAAAAAGCAGAACCATGAACCCAAACTTAAAAGAAATGCTTCTAGAAAGTATGGATCAAATGGGTTAGGGTGGGCGGGACCCTACCTGCTGCTGTGTGGCCGTTCCCATCTTTAAGGAATGTTCTCAGGTCTCCATGAGAGGGGGCAGCCCCTTCCAGGGAGGCGCCTCTGGTTTTCACAGGAGGCTGCTTTCCTGGACCTGATGGCTCCGTGTCCAGCTCCTGAGGTGAGGCGAAGCGGCTCATATCCATGAGAGCGGAGAAGCGCCTGCGGGCTCCGGACGGTGGACTAGAGTCGCTTTCAGTGAAGAAGGACTCTGAGCAGGACAGACGCTTCCTTAAAAACAAAGCAGCAACACATAGAACATCAGGAAGAGGTTAAAAAAATATATAAAAAAACATGGATGCTAATCTGGGAGTTCTTTCACTTACATTTCCGGGGAGCTGGTCCTCCAGCTCTTGTCTCGTAGGGTGACACTCCCTAAGCTTTCTCGTTTGGTAACCCGGTCCTCCCTGTGGACCTTGTGCTCCCGTAGAGTCACAGTGTGGGGTTTGTGCTCCAGCTGGGACAGATGCTCCATACTGCTGTACACCTACAGGTTGGAACAGTAATGTGGTTATGGGGGGGTTAGGGGTACTGCTAAACAGAAAGAGCAGGAGGACAAAATGCTGACATATAATTGTGGTCAGAAATTGAACATCCACTCATCATCTGCAAGGCAGTAATAATAACTGTGGGCCTACATAATTTTTTATAAATCCACACAGTTCATCAGCTGTTTTGGTATTATTTTCTTGGTGATTTAAAAATCAAACTAGTGATGGAGAACATGACATCTGAGCCGACAATGAGTGGATGCAAACCTCTAACCAGCAATGGGTCGGGCTCAAACCTTGCTGAAGCGAGGAGAGCACGACGAGAAGCGATGGATCTCCACCGGCTCATCGTCGTTGGTGTCATCTTCGTCATATGACTGCACGTGATGGTAGCGCTCAGACCGGGCTGAACCGAGGAAGAACATTGAAAAAGGCATTTATGTTTCTAGAACCATATATCTTCACTTCACTTACAGTATATACAGCCTTTTAAAACTGTCAATTTTTAACTGAAGGGGGGCAGAAATACAAATCCTAATTTAGTACCTATTGTGGTAAAATCCTAGGAAAGAGTTTTTGTGAAATTCTTGCTCAAAATGTGTTAGGGTTCCAGTTTGTGGGGGTTGTTTTTGTTCTTTTTCAGTGTCTCCATGCATCCACCAGATGGTGACATTGTTCCTCTGTTGGTCTGGAGGGCCTCTTCCTGCTCTCAACTACTCACACTTGCAGCTCATCACCGTCTGAGGAGTATATGAGCAGCAGACTGTCACCATCTCCTCGCCAGAGTGTTTACCAGTATTGGGTACTCTAGCCCCTCTGAGTTTTGTTGAGTCAATACTTTGAGTTTTTTTTTTTTTTTTTTTTTACCCAGTTATTCTCTGTGAATCTTTCACAGGATTTCACAGGAAAACTAGTGACAGTCTGCTCCGCTGCTCCTCAGGACCACCATAAGTCTGCCTGTCCGCCCTCCAGCTAAGTAATCTCTCCAAAACAGTTCAAGCCTCCACAAACAGGAACCCTCGGGTAACCTCAAAACCACAACAAGCTTCCACTTCCGGTTTACCAGACTGCTGGATTCCCCCAAGCTGAGAAACCAGTTGTTTAGTCACTTTGTTCACCTTTGTTCAAATAAACTTTTAAACCTCTTTCAGACTCTGTGAGTGCTTCTGCATGTGGGCAAAACATAGAAGGGCCATCATGACAAGATGGAGACAACAGTAAACTCAAGGTGAGGTTTAGCTCCTGAAGGGAGCTGAAGGAACCACTGAGGCTGCTCCTGACATTCCTAAATGCCTTAGAAATGTACGTATGTGCTTGATTACTGGATTACAACATTTCCTGCCAAACCCAACAATTTAAAAGGATAATTTTTCATTTTTTATTATTGTTAATTTGTATACCATATTATGTATTATCTGAGTCAATTACTGAAAGATTAAAAAAATCCAAACCCAGTCCAAAAAAACAAACAAAAAACAAGTATTTCAATTACAAACTTATTCCCAATTTGTATTATAATTTCATATAATGAATTGATTGTGTGTGATTGAGTTCTGAACTCTGGGCTCAACGCCTCAGGGACATAAACATACTGTCAAAATAACTGGTGTCTTCCTCTGACTCAAGGTGAGGGATGAACTCTGCTTTCTGTCTCAGCAGGCTGTTCCAGTCCACCTCTGTGAAGAACGAGTGCTGCTTGACCTCGAAAGCACCACCTGGAGAGCAGGAAGGGAAAAGAAGGAGGTCAGAGCATTTAAAAAAAAAAACAGACGGAGAGTCAGGGTGATGACTACAGCCCTAAAGCCTGGAGGTGTTTTCTGACCCCAACAGAGGTGACTTGTTTGATTAAACTGTCTTTGATGGGAAATACATGAAGACATTTTTCTTCTAGATCAGCAAGAACCAAGGTTACAGGTACCTAGGCAGCTCCTCTCTTGGTGGGGGAAGGGATTTCGATCTCTACCGGCTTTGCAGATCTAGAGACTGAATGTTGTGCCCAGTTTGTGCCAAACAGCCTGATGAGATTGAATTTGTGACTTTGACTAGCTTTTTTCAAGTCTTACTGAAAGGAGACTGACCTGTGCCAAGTCGCGCCAGAGGATTTGTCTGCAGCAGAGAGGAGATCAGGTGCTGAGCATCCACAGGAAGAGCCTCGTCTCCTTCTGGCCACGCTATGTCATCTGCGGATGAGGCAATGGGAAGGATGCAAGATGGCAAAATAATGAGGAGGTTAAGAAAATTGGAGCCAATTTTTTCTTTTGAGTGTGTGCAGATGAATTAAGAAACCTGACTTATCTGTTTATAATATGCATAAAGTATATGTATTCAATCAATGTGGAGGACGCTTGTTTACTTCTCACCTGTGATGACTTGTCCAAATAGCTCTTCTGGAGTATCTCCAAAAAAAGGCACACAACCCACCAGGAACTCATACAGGATGATGCCCATAGCCCACCAGTCCACAGGCTTCCCATAACCCTGACGGAGAATCACCTCCGGAGCGATGTACTCTGGAGTTCCACACACCTAGAAGAAAAAAAACAAGACCTGATGGAATCAACGCTATTATGAGCTTTCTTTCATGACAATTACAATCTCATTATGAATTTGTAAATTTTCTTCCCGTTTGTATCTGAAAGAATCCAAGAGTTTGAGGTACATCCTCTTCACAAAAATAACGTCTGGTTGAGTAAATCCCCTCACAGATGCCAAGACTACATGAAAGCCCAAAAATGTTTTTTCATGTGCAGATGGGCTTCGCAGTGAATGCTAACAATTTTCTGGCTTGGATAAATAATGAGGCTCGTATTCAAAGCAGTAGCAGAGAATAAAAAGGGCTTGTAATTTTAAAGTGTTCTTAAAAGAGACACAGTATGATTGCAACGGCTGGGGAAATACTGGTCTATTGTTCCTCCAACTGTTAAAGGTCTCATTTTATCAGGCTTTGGAAATGCCTACTGCACAATGAGAGGCAACATCTTTTCATGGAAAGCAGACATCAAAGGAGCCTTTTATGTTTAAACTTAGATCATAATGAATCAGTCCACCTCGTCCTTCTGCCAGAAAGACAGAAACGTTGCCTCTAGTGGAAATGTGACAAACAAAGCAGAACCAGCGCACTGGAACAGAACTGTGTCCCTTCAGGTTTTCTCAATGTGGAGGTGTTACAACCTCAAGCTTCAATTGATTTACTGGGATTTTGTGAGATAGACTATTATGGATTTTTATAACAGTGAAGAGTTAAAGGAAAATAGTACACCTTTTTTTATTTCTTTAATTAATTAAATTCAATTACATAAAGGTGAACTTTGCTTATCAATTTAGGAAAGTCTGAGGTGACTGATCTCACTTGATTCAGTTTAGAGATATCTGAGTGAAGGGGTTGTATGCCATAGTTTTTAGATATTTATCTGAAAAAAAACAAATTTTGTTTAAGCAGCATTTTCTATCCACTTAGCATTTAAAGCCTGAATCCAATAAAGCACCTGTGTCAAAATCAAGGCCTGTGGGCCCAGTCCATCCCACAATGGAAATTAATTCGGCCTTAAAGGCATGTTATGTCATAAAATCGGGCTTATATCAGTAATGCCGAGCAGAATCACCAAATCTAAGCATTCATAAATAACAAAATTACTTTTTTACCCCCAGATACTGCTATATTTTAGTGACTTAATTAATCAATTTTATTTTGTTTGCACACTTGTGTTCATGCATCCAAATGTAGTGACAGAATGTGTTTCAAAGCTGCTTACCTTTGCTTCTACTTCTTTTTTTCTGGCAAGAGTTGCTCAAACAAAGCCCTCCAGAACCAAAACGTATTTGCAGGCTCCTGCCACACCCATCCTCCAACACATTCACCACTGGAAGATCTGCACCAACCATTTTTGGACTCCCCTACCCTCAGCCCCCTACAAACCGTAAGCTCTTTTCTTGCTTATTTGTAAGTTACCAATCATTACCTTAATATCCATCATTTTCTCTTCATCAGAAGTCTGTGCCTCACTTTTTCCTCAGGGAAGACCCATGTCTGATCCTTTAAAAATTTATTATCTCAGTTAAATAAATATTGAACTTTTTCTTGTCTCCAGTGAGTCTCTGTGTCTGGGTTTAGGCATTTAACAGCTGCCATGATCCAGCACTGTAATTCATCCTTAATCAGTTATAGCAAATGTAATTTTTTTTTTCATAAACTTTGTCATGACTTCTGAATTGGAAATACTGATCTTTAAGTTGAATTGATTTAATATTTCCTTTATGTTACTGAAATCATTACAAATGTTAAGTTTCATTCATGCAGCTGCAAATGGCCCTTTTAACCCTTTAAATTTTATGAAAATTCTATCTTTTTTAAACTAGAGCTGTTATTAACCCTATAATGCCAAATGTATCGTATTTGATACATACGGTTTCATAAATGTTTTGCATCTGACACCTTTTGCATAATTTAATGGTAAAAACTTTGCTCAAAATCCTATTGTACACAATCAGATATACCTGATAACAGTCAGTAGAAGACTACACAAAAAAATAATCTTGACTTATCGCATAGTAATAAATTATTAATATCAAAAATGTATTTCTGATTTTTCTTTTTACATATTTTGTTAAAAGGCCAAATAAGGAATTCAAACCAAAAAAAAGTAATTTTCTGTTTTGTTTTATTCTCGGATCAGGCTTTAAAGGGTTAAACACACAAATATCAGTTTTTAACAAGTTAAATTAGACAAGTTATCTCTATCCTTTGTGATATTTTAGGTATTTTTGTGTAATTTATTAGATTTTCTGTTCACCATATGTATCTGGAATAGGTCAGATTTTTCAAGGACAAAAATATCACACTGATGATGTAGAGGTCTCAAAAACTCCTCTATCGAATATGATAAACTTGGAGTTAAACATGATGATTATAAAATGAACAAATATTAACACCTCTGATATAAAACATTAAAGATGTAGATGTTTCACATTTCTGACCTAGGGGGTTAAAACAACACATTCAAGCGACAAAGTTCAAGGTCTTGTGTCATGATGGGTTACTGAAAAGCCCAAGATGCAGAACACCACGGAGACAGAAGAAAAGTTTAACAAGTTTGTTGTTCACAAGCACATGGAATAACACAGGTACTGGTTCAGGCCTGGGGGGCTGGTTCACTGGAGTCTGTGTGGGAGACAGTTCAGTTAGCTTGGGATCAGTTGAGTTTGAGAGTTTCAGGTTTGTACCTTGAGAAGTCCGGTTTAGGCTTTGAGAGAGGAACTGTTGGGTCCAGAGATTGTTTGTTTCAGCAGAGTCCGATAACTGCTTCAGCGTCTTACATCTAGCTTGAAGGCAGACCTTGGCTTTTGGTTTCCAGCTCTTAGTCCAGAGCTGCATGGGAATCCAGAGAAGAGTCTTCAGGTTTGGCTCGGAGGGCAGGCTCGGCGGGTTAAGCTCTTCCAGAGCTCACAGTAGAAAAACAGGATTCCAAACTGGATTTAACACTGCGGCGTCGAGGCAAGGTCTGAAGGCAGGTTATATACTGTGGATCCTCTGATGATGAGATGCGCCTCAGGTGTGTCGAAGGCTCAGCTCAGGAGGATCCATGGCGGACTCTGCTGGAGAAAGATGGAACTTCTCCAGCTCCCAACAGTACCCCCCCCCTCAACGACCGCCTCTTGGCGGTCCGGAAGATGTCGATGGGAGGGAGCGCTCATACTCCTCGATCAACGATGGGTCGAGGATGTAGGAACCAGGAACCCACTGGCGATCCTCCGGACCGTAGCCCTCCCAAACGACAAGGTACTGCCAACCGCGACCTCGCCGACGGGAGTCCACGATCCGGCGGACGGTGAAGGCAGGATGTCCATCGACTTCCAGGGCGCGTGGAGGGGAGTCGGATGGAGGGCACAAAGGACTTGAGATGACTGGTTTGACCTGAGAGACGTGGAACGTGGGGTGGATGCGAAGAGTCGGGGGAAGTTGCAGGCGTATGGCTGATGGATTGATAACCTGGACAACCTTGTATGGACCAATGTATCTTGGTGAAAGTTTGCGAGACATTCCCTTGAGGGGGATGTCTCGAGTGGAAAGCCATACCTCTTGTCCAACCGAGTACTCAGGGGCAGGACGTCTCTTTGAGTCGGCGAAGCATTTGGTTGTTTCCGAGGAGTGATTGAGAGTGGCGATGGTGTCTCTCCAGATGCGTTGGCATCGACGGATGTGCTGATTGACTGACTGGACCGAAATCTCTCTCTTGTCTGCAGGAAAAAGTGGAGGTTGATAACCGAGACTGACCTGAAATGGTGACTGACCGGTGGAAGCTGACTTGAGAGAGTTGTGGGCGTATTCGATCCACGTGATGTATTGGCTCCAGTCGGTGGGATTATTAGAAGTTAAACAACGAAGGGTAGACTCGAGCTGCTGATTCATCCTTTCTGTTTGACCGTTGGACTGTGGATGATAACCGGAGGTTAGTGAAGACTTACAGTTGAGAGCAGAACAGAACGCCTTCCACACTTGGGACCACGATCTGAAAGTATTTCTTGTGGGATTCCATGTAGACGAAAAACGTGTTTGATCAGGAGCTGAGCAGTTTGAAAGGCCGTAGGAAGTTTCCTGAGGGGGATCAGATGACAGGACTTTGAAAATCGATCGACGAGAGTAAAGATTGTGGACATACCTCGGGAGATGGGAAGACCAGTGACGAAGTCAATAGCGATGTAAGACCATGGACGCGTGGGGACTGGGAGAGGATGCAACAGACCTGAGGGTGGTTGATGTGAAGCCTTATTCCTGGCGCAGGTAGAGCAAGCCAAAACATATTCTTTGACATCCTTGTGAAGGGTAGGCCACCAGAAGCGTCTAGAAATTAAGGAGATGGTTCTGCTCACCCCCGGATGAGCAGAAAACTTGGCAGTATGCATCCACTGTATCAGGCGAGATCTAACAGAAGAAGGGACATAAGTTCGGTTTGGAGGACCGTTACCTGGGTCAGGTTCAGAAGCCAGGGCAGAGTTAATGAGATCGGTGATCTCCCAGGTAACCACTCCCACAGTGCAGGATGCGGGAAGGACAAGTTCAGGCGTCTCGGATTGATCAACGGAGTAAAGACGAGAGAGAGAATCGGGTTTGACGTTCTTGGATCCGGGTCTGTAAGAAATAATGAGGTTGAAGCGAGAGAAAAATAGGGACCACCTTGACTGACGAGGATTGGCTTGTTTAGCAGACTGGATGTAAGCGAGGTTCTTGTGATCTGTCCAAACAAGAACCGGGTGCTCAGCTCCCTCCAGCCAGTGTCTCCATTCCTCCAATGCCAGCTTGATGGCCAAGAGTTCACGGTCTCCAACGTTGTAGTTTTGCTCTGCGGGGGAAAGTCTACGAGAGAAAAAGGCACACGGGTGAACTCTTTGATCCGTGTCGAGTCTTTGAGATAAGACAGCCCCCATACCAGAGTCGGAAGCGTCAACTTCGAGGATAAACTGCTTTGAAGGATCGGGCTGGATCAGCACAGGAGCTCTGGAAAACAAAGTCTTAAGTTTATCAAATGCGGCTTGTGCCTCGGGGGTCCGTTGGAAGGTTCTTTTGACTTAAGTTAGAGAAGTTAGTGGAAGAGCTGTCTGACTGTAATTCCTGATGAATCTTCGATAAAAGTTGGCGAAACCCAGGAATCTCTCTGCAGCTGCTTACGGTTTTCAGGAACCGGCCACTCCAAAACTGCCTTTATTTTATCTTCAGAAGGCTTAACCTGCCCGCCCTCGAGCACAAACCCCAAAAAGGAGACTGAAGACTGATGAAACTTGCATTTTTCGGCTTTGACAAACAGTTTGTTCTCCAGTATTCTTTGTAACACCAGGCGGACATGTCTTTTATGCTCAGAAAGGTTCTTAGAATAAATGAGTATGTCATCAATGTAGACGAACATGAACACATTCAAAAAGTCTCTGAGAACGTCGTTTACCAAGGCTTGAAAACATGCAGGGGCGTTCGTTAGACCAAAAGGCATGACCAAATATTCAAACTGGCCCAAAGGAGTCTTAAAGGCTGTTTTCCACTCATCTCCATCTCGAATCCTGAGAAGGTGATAAGCGTTCCTTATGTCGAGTTTGGTGAATACAGTAGCCCCTTGTACAGGTTCAAAAGCTGAAGCGAGTAATGGGAGAGGGTACTTATTTTTAATAGTTATTTGGTTCAGCCCTCTGTAATCGATACAGGGTCTTAGTGAACCGTCCTTCTTGCCGACGAAAAAGAACCCTGCACCCAACGGAGAAGAAGATGGGCGAATAATTCCAGCAGCTAAAGACTCATTGATATATTTTTCCATAGTTTCTCGTTCACGTTTGGAAATATTATAAAGTCTGCTGCTGGGTAGAGGTGCTCCAGGTAATAGCTCAATCGCACAGTCATATGGTCTGTGTGGTGGAAGGGACGTAGCACTGACCTTACTGAAGACAGGAGCCAAATCATGGTACTCGGAAGGGACAGAAGTAAGGTCAGGAGAGTCCATCTCCCCCCCACCTCTAGGAGATCTCACAGCGGGAGCTGCCAAACGGAGGCATGTTTCATGACATAAAGTTGACCAGGATTCAACATGACGATCAGTCCAGTTAATATGGGGATTATGTCTTTCCAGCCATTCAAATCCAAGCACCAGAGGGGAACATGCGGAGGGAAAAACAAAAAATGTTAAGGTTTCTCGATGATTACCTGAGATTAGCAGCTCGAGAGGTTGCGTCTGATGGGTGACGTGGTGGAGTTTCTTTCCATCAATAGCAGAGACACAAAGAGGCTGGGTTAGAGGTACGGTTTCTATTTGAAGCTGTTGGACAAGATTGGAGTCAATTAAATTCCGTTCACAGCCTGAATCAATGAAAGCAGAAAAAGAGAGGTTCTGATCTGAGGAAAATAAAGTGGCAGGGAGCATGAGACGAGGAGATTTTTCAGAGTTGACATGGCCCGCCAGACTCCTCAGAACCTCTGACGGGCCCCGGCTTTTGATTTAGCTGGGCATGAAGCGATGAAATGACCACTCTCACCACAGTAGATACACAGTTTGCTCAAAAAACGTCTTTGTCTTTCCTCTGGAGTCAGCCTAGTATGTCCAACCTGCATGGGTTCGATTTCCGTCTCTCCATTATGAGAAGCTTGGACAGGCAAGGAGAGAGACTGGGTTTTAGGTCTCGGTTTGGACAAATATTCTGTGGGAGCAGAAAAAACAGTCACATTATTTGAAGCAGAGGCAGGGGCAAAAGAACCCTGATTCTTAGATTTGGAGCTGTTTCTAGCTCGGATCCTGTTATCCAGCCTAATTGTCAGGCGGATTAATTCTTCAAGTGTTTCAGGTTCGTCGAGGGTTGCTAGTTCATCCTTGATGCTTTCGTTCAAAGCCATGAAATAAGCGCCTTTTAAAGCGCTTTGATTCCATCCGGAAGCTGCCGCTTTAACCCGGAAGTTAATGGAGAAATCCGCTACTGAAGAATTTCCCTGTTTTAGGTTGAAAAGAGCCAAGAGTCAATGGTTTGATCAGTTTCTTGGTTAAATACTTGAGAAATTTCAGAGACAAAATCTGTGTATCGACAACTGAGGCTTTCGTCGGAGGCAAACCTTGCCTGAGCCCATTCCAGGGCTCTTCCAGTCAATTGGGACAAAATAAAAGTTATCTTCTTATAATCTGTGGGAAAACTGCCAGGAGAGTCTTGAAATATTAAACGACATTGAAACAAAAATCCTTTGCAGTCCTTCATATTACCAGAAAACTTCTCAGGTAGACTTGGGTGGAACTCAGATGATGACGTCACTGCCGGTGACCTCAGAGGCGGCACTGGACCCGGAAATGGTTGTGCTGCCGACGTGGCATTAGCACTGCTCATGTAGTTAGCATAACTCTGAAGCATTTGATTATGAGAATCGACCATTCGATATAACTCACGGAGGGTTTGAGTTTGTCCCTGGATTTGAGCATCTTGCTCCTCCAATCAACGGCGGAGGTGATCTGCTGGGCCTTGTGTTTGGCCGCAGTGTTCTGTCATGATGGGTTACTGAAAAGTCCAAGATGCAGAGCACCACGGAAACGGAAGAAAAGTTTAACAAGTTTATTGTTCACAAGCACATGGAATAACACAGGTACTGGTTCAGGCCTGGGGGGCTGGTTCACTGGAGTCTGTGTGGGAGACAGTTCAGTTAGCTTGGGATCAGTTGAGTTTGAGAGTTTCAGGTTTATACCTTGAGAAGTCCGGTTTAGGCTTTGAGAGAGGAACTGTTGGGTCCAGAGATTGTTTGTTTCAGCAGAGTCCGATAACTGCTTCAGCGTCTTACATCTAGCTTGAAGGCAGACCTTGGCTTTTGGTTTCCAGCTCTTAGTCCAGAGCTGCATGGGAATCCAGAGAAGAGTCTTCAGGTTTGGCTCAGAGGGCAGGCTCGGCGGGTTAAGCTCTTCCAGAGCTCACAGTAGAAAAACAGGATTCCAAACTGGATTTAACACTGCGGCGTCGAGGCAAGGTCTGAAGGCAGGTTATATACTGTGGATCCTCTGATGATGAGATGCGCCTCAGGTGTGTCGAAGGCTCAGCTCAGGAGGATCCATGGCGGACTCTGCTGGAGAAAGATGGAACTTCTCCAGCTCCCAACATCTTGAGATTGTCCATAAGAAATATAAACTTCAGAGTATAGAACACAGCTTTTTTCTCCCTCTTTGCTCAACATCTTCCTTTAAATTGCTTCTCATTGTTCATTTTGAAGAGTTTGTTTTACATGGAAAATGAACCAAAGAATTATAATAATCAAAATAAAAAATTGTAAACTAATAGATGTAGAGGTTTAAAAACTCAAATCCCTTGAAAAACAAAAAAATATTTTTAAAATTTTAATACATGTGGGAGCTGTAGAGAGTCTCTTATCCATATCCATTTGTCTACATTTACCTGTTTATCCAAAAACTCCCGTGTATCCTTCTCTATGTGCCCCTCATACAGGTTAGTGGTCAGACTCATCAGGCCAATCTTAGACAGACCAAAATCCGTCAGCTTGATGTGTCCCATTGATGTTATTAGGAGGCTGTGAATAAAAACCACATAGTCAAACATTTTAATTATTCTAAAACTTCCCAGCGATGCTTAAAAAAAAAAAAACTCCATCTTACTTGTCAGGCTTGAGGTCACGGTGTACGATACCATAGTTGTGTAGGTACTCCAATGCAAGGACGGTCTCTGCGAAGTACATGCGTGCCATTTCCACAGGCAGAGCCCCAATGTTCTTCAGCAGAGTGGCACAGTCCCCTCCTGCAGAAAGAGAGCTTGGTGTGTCATCAGCACCTTTAAGGAACCTCTCTTCCGACATTGTTTTAGGTTAAAGGAAAGGGCAATCGATTGAATGTCGGACAGAAATGTGCATTAAGTGCTATTTTTTAAGTAATGCTGACTGTTCTTTGAGTTGGCCGGCATGATGCGACTCAAGGACATCATGTCCAGTTTTCTGGTGTTAGGGCGTTAATCGCCAAGGATGAAAATAAAGAAAAAGAGCTATCTTTTGAGTGTAGTTAGAGGCAGTGTTGCCATTTTATGCCACTTTTATGCAATAATGAAACAGACCTATACATTTATTGAGGATTTGTAAAGAGGTCTGCCTAGCACTCGTCCATACTAAAATAAATCGCCTCTCAAAAATAAATATGCTCCTTGACCTTTTATTGCATTTAGTTACATTACAAATACAAATCTTTTTTTAAATTAAAATGTTCATTTGGGACACTTAGACTTGACTCAAGACAGCAATTTCATATAGGAAACAACACAAATAAAGTAAACAAAAACAAAAAAATACCCCAGGATGCAAATCTAACCCTCTCCTAAGTCATATAATGATCAAATGCGAGTTATTTATGCTTTATACTAGTTCCTTGTAGCTTATTTGGTACATACTGACAAACAAGCAGCACATGACACAGGGGCTGATGAATATCTTAACCTTTAAACATCTCAAATAGCTCTGTTTGGTCCCATCAAAATATAGAAGGTGCATAAAACAGAAGGTTAGATGAAGATGTGATCAGACACCAAAATTTAAACTAACGCTGGAGAAGCTCAGTTGAGATCTAGGTTTAAGTCAAAGAGACAAACCCCTAAACTGTAAATTTAATATGAATATTTTATTTGCAGTAGGGAACACTTTTTTTCTCCACAATTAAAACTACATCTGTTTATGTATTCAATTAAAGAAATAAAACACATTTTTAGTTTTCTGAAGTTTACTAAACTAATTAATTAAGAACAAAAACCAAAGCTGTATCCTAAAATACAAGATAGCCCTAAATAGGACAATTTAGGGTCACCAATATATCAATATAAAAAAATATCAAGAATTTTTTAACGAACTGTATCGTCTACATAGAGTTCACAGCTGGCACATGAGTAGCGAAGAGAAAAGTCAAAAAATGAAGAAACTAAAGAACAATGGGCTGAGTATAGAGCCTTGTGGAATGCCCATTTTTATATTCAAAAGTGAGGAAGTGTCTTGAATTTCTTAAACTCAAAACACAATCAAAGTGTATCCAGGGATTGAACATTTATCTAAATATTTTTGCTCTAGTTATCTTTCTCAGAAGCTGCTATGTGTTCATGCTTCTTGGTCTACATCTTCAGATCCTCACCTTCCACATACTCCATCACCATGCAGAGATGCCGTCGAGTTTCGAAAGAACAGAACATGGAGACAACAAAGGGATTCTCTGCAAAAGTGAGGATGTCCCTTTCCACAAAGGCTTGCTGGATTTGGTTCCTCAGGATCAGGTTTTGCTTGTTGATTTTCTTCATGGCAAACCGTTGACGTGTCTCCAAATGACGCACCAAATACACAGCCCTAGTTTACACAGAGAAAATCCATGTCTGGTTCATCTGTGTTTTAGAGTATCACTTGCACCCAAGCCCATACACATCAGTGGATTACAAAGGATGCTGCACTGAGTGGCTTACCCGTACGCTCCGTTACTGATCAGCTTGATGGTTTGGAAGTCTGCTTCTCCTGGTGGTTTCATTGCTCGGATCTTTCCCTGTGGATCAAAAAGCAGCTGCTTTGAAGGATATCATTCAGCATGAGCTGAACTTGTTTATATCATGCTAAAACGTTTAATTCCAGTGCTTTTTTTTTTATCTTAACCCCTTGATTTTAGTATTTTTACCTCTACCAAGGAGGTTATGTTTTTAGAAGAGGTTGTGTGTTTTTTCTGTCTATCTGTCCAACTTTGTACAGGATAACTTCAAACGTTATGAATGGATTTTAATGGTGGTGGAACAAGCAGCTCCCATTTCAACCAGAGCTTGGCAGCAGTGACTATGGAAGGCTTCAGCATCGGACTCAAAAAAGCCCAGAATTATTATGCTGAAGCCAAAAACACAGGAAAAGGCTTGAAATTTTGATCTGCTGATCAAATAAGAAAGCAGAGTGTATGAAGAAGGTGAGAACAGAACAAACACCAGAGGCTGCAGCCATTCGCTGAGCCTTATTTATGAAAGGACTTTAAGTAAATTCTTACCAAAGGTGCATCTCATGCCAAGGAACAATTAAAATTTGCTAATGAAGCAGACCATGTCCAGGTTTTAGTTATAGATTTAAGTCACAATATGGTGCCAAAGTGTGCAGCTTGGCAGAGGTCTGCGCTCTCATAGTGCTTTTCTAGTTATCTCTAATTTGGAAGCTTGCCTAATGCTACAGGAAAGCCTGGAGTGATAGTGTCAGGTTTTCTAGATGTCAGAAGAAATTAGCTTAATTAATTTCACCAATGCCAATTCAACATAAATGAAGCAGTGTTGCTAAAAAATACTAACTGATCTGAGAAAAAAAAAAAAAAAAGGTGTAAACTCTATAACAGATGCTCCACTTTTTTTTCTGTATTAGCACCTTCAGGATAAAAGCTTCAATGAACAGCAGTTTTTCCAACAAGCTTTTTTGTATGTAAATATAAAAACTACTTTTATCTGCATTATAAATTAAATTCCATACTAATACAGAAAGTAAAACTATGGAAATCTCAATCCTGATGTATCCTGACACTAAAAATCGACCTCCCATCCCACTGACCTTTAGTATGGACCCCGACCTGAGGAGGAATAACAGGAAATATTTCAGTCTCACCTCTGTTGAGTCATCTGTTTCAGGCGTTACTGGCCCCTCGCTGTCATAGCTTTCCAGGTTCACCATGTCTAATAATAAAAAGTATTTTGTCAAATTAGTTTTAAAGTCATTTCCTTTCCAAATTAAGAACCATTCTGTGTTGCTTTGGCCCTTAACCTTCAATCGGATCTCTTGTCAGACCCAGCTGGCTGATGATGTAACGAGGAATGTCAGTTTTCATTAGATGACCCTCCTTGGCATGGTCCTCTGCTGCCTCCAGGAGATGGTAAAACTCCTCTGGATTAAACTCCTAGAGACCAGAGCAGTAGGGTGGAAAATGGTTATAAAAGTTGTAAACTTTAAGAACTTATAATTGACTTGGTTTGCTGATAATAAAAACAAATCAAAGCTTAAAAAGGAGCTCCAAGATTTATTTCTGCAGTGGGTGATGTTACTAACAAATCCTGTCAAAACATGTAAGCGGGGTCAAGGGATTGAGGTTTCTTTCAATGTTTGTACAGTTGAGCACATGAGGGGGCAAATCTGCAGAGGGGGCTAAAGATTAAGATGAGGGCAAGGAGGACATCCAGCCTTAAGGACTTGGAGGTCATCAACAAATTCAAGTCGTTCTAATATATTTTACAGATGCACCACCATTCAACAGGCTCCTAATCACTCATAGACATATTCAATAAATTAGAACAGAGGTACAGAGGACCCTGGCCCGTGAAAGTCACCTAAATTGGTTAGACAAGGGAGCAGCTGTAGCTCTTGTCACTGGAGTCTGCAGGTTATTTATCCAAGACATTAGAATCAGCTCTAAGTGTTTCTAACTAATGACCTGGAAGATTGTACTCGCTGTTTCATGTTTGCACACTGCAGCTTACAGTATACTGAGAAACTGTTACCAAATTCACTGCTGGTCATATATGTTGATTCAACAAGAACATTTTGGTATTTTTTTTACTCTTACTCTTATTCCATTAACCTATTTTCTTAATCTTAGTCTGTTTCTATTTTTATTGTGTTTTATTTTCGCTTCAATGACATAGTTTCCCTGCGGCAGTCATAAAGTGATCAATAATCTTGAATTATTGGCTTAATTAAGGATCTTAACTGCATTTGATGCGATTTATGGCAGGGCTTTGACTTGGACGTTCCAAAATGTGAAGTTGATCCTAGAGATGCACCGATCAGATATTAATATCTGGTCCCAATATTGAAGCTAATTCTAGATCGGTTATCACTGAAAATGGGCCTGATCCATAGGGGCAGATCTATCCAGTCAGTTTCTATGATACAGTTACATTAAGATAAAAGCTTTTTGAACAACAGAAAACTTTATTTATTTGATGTAATAGGTACATAATTTTAAACCTTTACAGTTGTACATTTGTCTTCATGAGGGAATCTGCCCTATTAAAACTAGTTATTGTTTTCAAAACTTAATTTTCCATTCCTATACTAATCCCACGTAGCCTTTTGGGATATATGTGAACATTTATTTACAACATAGATCATTATTGTTTGTGGGAAGGAGTTTTATGACAGCCTCTTAAAAGATTAACAGTAGTGATAACATTCAAGCAAACAGAGCTCTGGTATTTGAAAGTAACGAGATCTGCAGATATCCATATTCAAGTATTAGAGTGGAATTGGAAGTGGAGATATATGGATTGGTGCATCTCTACTTGGTCTTTCTTTAAATGTGCTTGGTCTGTAAGTTTCACATAGTCATTTCTAATTTGCAGGTAGATTTTTATTTCAGTGCTTTCAGGAATTCACTTTTATTCATTAATGATGGAACGCAACCTTTTTATGTATTCACAAAACAGCAGATGGTGACTTATTGTCTTTGCACCTTTAAAGTCTTTAAAAACAAACTCAATCAAATCCAATAAAGCCACGTTAAAGTCTTGTAAAAACCAGAGATCAGAAACTGGTCAACAATTCTGACACTATCTCTATAAATAACAACTCACCTACCAAGGTCAATATTATATAATATTCGATTCAACATAATTGTTACAAGGCTGAAAAATGCATACAATGGATCATCTGATCTTACTATTTTTTGTATTTGCAATAAGATTGTATATATAAAAAAAGAAATATAATGAAAGAAAGAAACATAAAAAACTGAGGTTTATCTGCCTTTTAAGCTGATCATGATTTGAACCAGTAATCCTACAGAAACGTGTGTAGTTTATGAGTTCCGAGCATGTAATTTGCACAATCAAGGGTGCACCCTATGGAAGCAAATTCCAGAAATGCTTTTTCATTTTAAATATGGTAACGATTTGCTTCCATACGCACCAACTTAGCACCAATACTTAGATGTGAAAACAATCGTTTCCACAGATGTTATCTACTTCTGCAAAGGTATGAAAATCGAGGCGCTAAACTTTATTTATATTTAATAGCAGTAATTTCAGCTTTTATCATTACACTGGTACTAATTAATGCATTTTAGTAAGGTAATATAGAAATTATTTTAGGGGTTTCATGATTTTATAAAAACAATCTGTATCAATCAAATTTGGAATTGGCTTTTCAGGCTTTTTAAAGATCGGGAATCAATGATCAACCAGAAACCTCCAATCGGTGCCTAGTATTAACCCACAACAGAGATTCACCTTTTCATTAGCCTATTGTATTCCTGTATAATAAAATCCTGTAAATTTACAAAACCAAAAAAAAACCTTCTTACTACTGACATCAAAAAAAATAAAATCACAATAACAACGTAGTTCAAAAACAGACTCTAGTACACCAAGACAGAATGAAAAACGCTTCTTTATGTCATTTTTTCAGATTTCGGTCCCAATCCTGAAACCAACTCTGCATGGAATGAGTCATGCAGGGTCGCAGGGGTAAAATCCTCTTATGAAACCTAGTCGAGCTGAGCTCCGCAGATAAACCCACTTTTGGATATTCTCCAACTTTAAATGACATCACGGTCACGGTCTGACTGACTCAGACTGGAAAGCAGCCAATGAGCAGGGCCGCTGGAATTAGCTATACTGTGGCAAGACAAATTTTAATCTATATGCAAATGTCTCTGTCAGCTATACAAACAGCCTCCCACCTTTGGTTTTTAGCTGTTTTACATTTCTACCCCCTTCTGTGTAATAGATTTGGGTACTTAAAAACTTGTAATGGGCTTAAAGATCAGTATATGATAGCAATCTATTTCCTGAAGGTTTCAAAAAGTTTAAAATGCCTAGTAGAGTACAATGTTGCTAAAGGACATCTTGATTAAACTTACCAGACACTCTAAAAGCCTTGCGGGTCGGGAGATGATGATAAGAAGCTTTTTCACCAGCTCTGTGACAAAGGCTACTTCTGAGCTTTCCGAGCGTTTGAAGGCCTGGGACAAAGACAGAGACAGTTACACAAGCATGCACATGTAGAATTATAAAAAAGAGCTGTCTATGTTAAGTATAGTAGAAGAATCAAAGGGAGTACAAAAAAAAAAGAAACAAAGAAACGTGTTAACAATTTGTGGATTTGTGGGATATTTGTTCCAAATGACACTTGTGCTCCTCTTCAAAATAGTTCATATAATAGTGCATATAAACTGAAAGCATGAAGCTGGAATTCAGTGTTTCCCCATTTTAATCATGTTATGAATCAGAACTACAACTTCCCGGTTTAGAACTACAACTCCCATCAATTCATGGATGTGTTTTGACACAGTCTGTCCCTCCGATATCACATCCTCACGCCGTAGCATCTCTAAATCCACCAAGAAAACCATCTTTCTTTCTCTCTTTCCATGGACCTCGGTCTGGATGCAAAGGAGAGACGCCAAACTTCTAGCTGGAGGGCACATTCCACCTGATGCAATCCCCAGAACCGGTGTCCATTTTTGTTTGCTGCATCCCTCGTTGAAAAAGCTCTAAGCCTTAAGCTCTTCATAACCTTGATGGCAGGGTCCGAAATTAACTTTTTGACTTACCGGCCAAGTGGTCCGGAAGACAAAATTATATGCAAAGCATTATTTTTACCAGCCAGAAAAAAACCCCAAAACAATATCCTCTCATGTATTTTTAAGGTACATATAATCTCTGTAAGGCAGGGGTCTTCAACGTTTTCCAGCCCAAGGAACCCCAAGCTGATGGCAAGATGGAGCGGGGACCCCCCACTTATATATATTGTATGAAATTGTGTTATATCAAACTGTCACTCTATTACAGAAGGACTCATGTAACGAAAGTTATTTCTCCCTGGGATTATTAAAGTACTTCTGACTCTGGTTCTTTGTTGATGGGACAGGTGTTGTGAATGAAACGGTGCCCAGCTTGAAAGAGCTCCTGTGTGTCGCTGAATGTGAGCATTGATGACTGAAAGACATCTTCTGCCTCCATTTATCTGTTTACTACAGTCTGTTGAATTCATGTTAATGTGAATTTAAAGACATTTAAATTAGTGTAAAAATGTACAAAAAAAAGTCTAATCAACCAAAACTTCTGTGAACCTCCGTGGACACCCCCTAGGGGTCGCTGACCCCCTGTTGAAGACCTCCACTCTAAGGCACAAAGTTAAATGCAAACAAAATATTCAAAAAATATTTAAAAAACAGGAGACTATTTTGAATTGTTGTATAGATCATAAATAAAAGCATAGCCTTTCTTCCAGTGGCATTGGCAGTGCAAAACAATATCTTCATCTTTCTGTTTTTGTGTTGATATAGCCATCAGCTCTCTCACAGTTGCTGTGTGGGTTGTTTGAACTGAGCCTGAGACCTGGACATCCAGTGAATGTGGCATTTATTGTGTTTGCATACACGGATGCTCTCCACTTTCATAGACTGACAGGCAGCGACAAATTCATCGTGTTTGGTCTATTTTGCATATTTGCTGCATTCTGAGCATCGCATTAGTGTAGCATCATCATAAATAGGCCAGTTTCTTGCTAAACAGTCTTCAATAAAGCGCCATTTTTCAATAAACTTTCTCTTCACCCCTGGGGGCTGTAGATCCTCGCCCCTCCTCTTAATCGGCATTTGTCTTTTAGAAGGCGTGGTTGCTCTAACTATATAACGCCACAGTTTGTCTAGCGGCAGAGTTGTTGTTAAACAACGGGTTGTTGGAGGTGTAACCTCTGTACGCGCGTCTGTCCATTGCTGTGTGAGGAACAGACAGCAGAGGGACAAAGAGACTGAGGGGAGACTTACCAAAATAAAAGATGGAGGGACATGACTGAAGCGCAACTGTGGATGAAACATTTACTTGACTTGTGGTGAACGGTGCTCTGGGAAATGAAACATTTCATCACATTTGGCTAGTGGCGAATGTTAATTTCGCACCCTGCTTACTGGTACGCCCGTTCTGATGCAATGTAGGAGGAGTTTTTCAATCTCTGCCGATCGACCAAGATACTGTAGCACCAGGTTTCCATCCTGGCCAGCTGTCCTATGTCTAGTGTGCCATTCTGCACTGTGAGCGGCTGTATTTCTGAGCTGTGAGCTGCAAGAACAGCCACTAAACTACAGCAGCATTGCATCCCCACACAATCACTCGTTTCAACACAAATTTCAATGCTGTCACATCAAATGCATCATGTTTGGTGGTAATTTTTCATTATTGGATTAACTGAAACTCAACTGATTTGACTGTTACCACAGACGGCCACTGTCACACGTCTGTTTGCTATATCAGCTGTGCTGCTAATCTGATGGACGTCCCCTCATCACAGCAGCTGAGCTAATGAATTGAAGAATAACAAAACCCTACCTCAAGGACTTATTTGAAGTCTTTTATTACGGATAATTTCATGTATTCTGTGTTTATTCCAGTAGCTTATAGTGTTTGCATAGTTTATTAGACATAGTAATAATAATACTGTAAAACTGATTATTAGCTTCAATAAAGCACCCATTTTGTTTTAATTGTGGTTGAATGTGGTTATTTACACAGCAGTGACTGATTGTCTATAAGAGCAGAACCTACTTCCTTTGAGTTAACAACTTGAATAGACAGAGACAAAACATTTCCTTCTAGTTAATGATTAATACCTTAATTAAAAAACTAAGTTATTGACATTTACTGATGGTGAAAATACCTTGGATTATTTAACAGCCGGTCCAAAACATCCAGACACTAATGTGCTGAAGACTCTCAGTCACCTAGGTCATAGTCATTCCAAAAAAAATAAAAAACAAACAAGTTTGAAGACATTTTGCTTCCCATCCAAGAAGGCTTTTCAATTCAAAATGTCAGAAATAGTGTTGAGTTCGAGGCCAACAAAGCCTTGTTTTTGTTTAGAAAATATGCAAATTAGCCTGCAATGTCCCATACCTGTATATGTCCCTGAAATGGAGGTGGTTAAAGGGAATTGTTGGCCTGGCTGAATAGGCGAGGTCTTCTGTTCCCCTGTAAAGGGGTTGGGGTTGCAATGATAACAGGAAGGGGTCAACTCAATTGCTGCATTGTAGATTTTGGAAAGCCGAAGTCTGTTTGAGGTTGGTTTTTCCTTCTTAATATAAATGGCTTCCTTCACGCCCCTTTCAAACCACCACTTGTCCAAAATGTGAAAATTCTTGTACTCAAAAGAATGTCCTTTGTCCATAAGGTGTAGATAAAAGGACTTATTGGCATAACATAATATGATTTGATATGGTTTTATCAGACGCCGAGCTACCCTGACTGGAAAGCTGATATCAAATATGTTCAAACAGGAAGGATATGTACCGCAGAGTCTTGTCCCGAGGGGGTTGCTCTTCTGGTTTGGGCCACTAAGTTAAGCCAAATGAAACACTTCTGCATTAATTGTTATCTCATTAATTGGTATTACCCTTGATTTGAATGACAAATAATTATTCATAATCAGCTGCTTTAATTAGAGATGTCCCGATCCAAGTTTTTGCACTTCCGATCCGATACCGATATTGTTTTTGGACTTCCGATCCGATACCGATACTGGCCGATACCAGCCTATCCGAGCATGTATTTAAGTTTAAGTTAAAGTATTTAGCCTTAGTTGTAAGACTAATGTTGAAAAGGGTTTTAGTATTCTTGATAACATCTAGCCAGCTGAATTAGGTGAGATTGAATAAAACACAATGATTGGTAACAACAAACTTACCTGTTTATTAAGAGATAAACACAAACTGGACAAAATTATGAATAGCAATCTAATATTGCACAGTGAACAGTAAAACCGTAAACAGTTAAAGGTGCTATATTACTGTAAGTTTTAATAAAAATGCAAAACAGATAAGAGCGGAAAATAGTCTATTAACTTAGAATCAGGACTCTACTCTTGAAAAAAGACACTGCTTAAAAAAAATCAGTGCAAATAATAGTTACACAAAAATGCCTTATACTCCCCAATGTCCTCCACAACTAGTCTCCATCTACACATCGTGCAGGATAAAATAATCCCACACGGCTGACATTTTCCCGCTATCTTCCAATTCACCTGTTTTAATGGTTAGGCCGGGAGACAGACCCAAAAAGACCTGTGGTCTGGAAAATACGGACCGGATTCGGGGAAAACTGGCGCAAAATAGTGGAATGGATTGTTTCAATCCGCGAAACTGGAAAATACGGACTGAATTTTTTTTAGAAACTGGATCGGCAGTCTGGATCGGCATTTTTACATGCTTTGCCGATACGCATTTTTCTTGCCAATATCGGCGTCCGATCCGATACGTGGATCGGATCGGGACAAGCCTAGCTTAAATTGGACAACATTTGCTGTATTTTTATTTAATTCAAATTGGAAATGAAATTCCTAATGCTCTGGGTGCCCCAAAGTGTTTAGATAATCATTAGTTGAAAGGAATTAGACCATGAGAGATTACATGAGTTTTATAGTCTTTTTAGTTCATTTTAACATTTAAGCACCCAGCACTCCAAGGTGGTTGAAGCATTTAGATAGAGAAGTGTGAAATAAAGTGATATCACTAGTTAATTGCAGCAAGTTTCAATTATGGCTTCTATAGCAATGTTTCAAATTATGTACCGGTATGTGTTCCACACGACCTCCCAAAGACTGAACTCATATGTAGTTTTGGGAAAGTCTAAAGAAATGTATGGCAGATGTGGTTATCTAGTGATAAAAAGATGCATGCAGCATTTTTTAATGAGTAGACAGTCATTTGCATGTGGTGTCATGTATTACATTATAATAAAATTTAGAAGTGATAGATACTAACTTTTGAGAAAATGTGTTTTAGTCAACTCAACAAAAATAGGCTTGGAATTTTATAGAATGTTATATCTGCTTGGTGTTGGTTGATGCTATTAGGCTTGAAGACAACATATTGAAGTTTGTTGTTGTAATATATCAGAATTAAAGGGAGTAGGAGTGCTGTTCACACCAAAAACAAAACAAACAAAAAAACTCAACATATTATCATAACTCACATCATGGAGAAGCTTCTCTAAATTCTCCTGCAGTTCAAAGAAGTAGACGGAGGTGATGAGGCCCTCGCGTGATTTTGCCAGGCAGTCTCTGGCCAGCTCTGCTATCTGATGATGGATGAAGCTGAGGACTCCGTCGGCCAGCGGAAGAACGCTTTCGGGTGAGAAAGCCTGGGTGAACTCAGCCAACCTCTCCTCCATCTGTGCTGTGGCCTGATGAAGGCCGGGTGGGCGACAACGAATTGCGGATGGAGAAAGAAAATATGACATACAGCAAGAAGAAGAGTAAAAGAGATAAGATATAAGAAAAAAATAATCCCTTTTTTGTGCTTAAATTAAAAAAGCTTCTGTATTACTGCATATTTATTTAATTTCATTTCATCAACAATGTCTTTTTTCCAATTAACTTTCATGGTAACAAGTCTAGAAACCTTTTACTAAGAAAAATACCCGTTGGCAAGCATGATTTTTATCAATCCAAAAGCTTTTTAACTCATTTCCTCTTGTTATCAAACTCAGGCAGAGAGTATGAGAGATAAAACAAGCCTTTATTTCAAAGCTCCAAGCCGTGGGAGAGAGCAAACTTAATATTCTCCCTAAATGAGTAAAAGGACTTAGTGGCATAACATAATATGATTTGATATGGTTTTATCAGACGCCGAGCTACCCTCACTGGAAAGCTGATATCAAATATGTTTAAACAGGAAGGATATCATTTTTATGACATATCATGAGGACTGGAATGATGCTTTACTGCTTTGAAGGTTTTATTCATTGAACTGCAGTTAATTTAATTCTTGCTGAAAAATTTGCATTGCAGAACCATTTTGAATGTTTGTAACGGTGAGACTCAGCAGGTTACCTTTGGAAAGCGTTCTTTGTACACATGGTTCATCATGACGATCTCATTGTCATAGCAGGAGGAGGAGCGCCCCGGGCTGGAAGAAGTAAAAAAAAAACGTCTTAGAAGAATTTAAGATGTTTAACAGATATGCAGAAATGGACTGGTCACTGGAATTGATTTCTACTTTGTTCTGACCTATAGGTTCATTACGGAGCCCCTAAAGGGACATGGAGGGAAAAAAAAAACTTTTGCGAGATCCCGCAAAACTATTGCAGGATCTCGCAAAAGTTCTTTTTTCCCCCTCCATGTCCCTTTAGGGGCTCCGAAGTTCATCACCTCTTTAAGGAAATAAAAATTCAATTTTTTTTTATGATCACTTAATGCACCTTCTCCAAGCAGACCAAGGTTGAAGTAGCTGCTGTTCTCTTTGGTGTGAAAATTGTTATGATTCAGAGTTTGCTGTTATTAGTATTGGCGGGGTGATAAAAATAAAGTCAAAGGAAGAAAAAAAGAGATACCTAGACATATATGTGATTCTGTGGATTATTAGAGAAAGATAGCAAAACTTGCACTGGGAACAGGAAAACTAAAACTACTACAGGAAAGTTATGGTAAAGAGGCCAAGTCACTTACAATTACTTTCCGAATTTCTAAGCCAGAAACTCAATGCAGGTGCATTCAAAGGCTTTACAATAAAATTTTGGTGCCATGTTGTCCTGTTTTTTATTTTTTTATTCTGTGTTTTTTGCACTATTTTCTAGTAAACTTTAGCTTGATCTATATTCAATAAGTATTTTTGCACATTTATCTTATAAGGAAACAAAGTAATAGAGCGAAGCAGACCAGCATTCTCCAAGTGGAAGTCTAAAAAAAAGAGGAAAAGTCCAAAATTAAATGTGAAAAAGTGCAAAACTATCAAATGCCAAGAGGGATAAGACAAGAGTAGTGCTGTGAAAACAATATGTATATGTTGGTTTTCACTGAAGGGGGGCTAAGGCCTGTCAGGTTGATGGCGATGTAAATAAATACTCAGTGTAGGCCACACTGTCAGGATGGCATACACTGCTTTATTTTATTATGAAAATATCATTTTTTTATAGCCATAGTATGATCTCAGAGTCAAATTAAAACTATGTTAATATATAGTGTATTGCAAAATAAGCCGCATACTTGTTCACACTTTGTCATGAACAGAAATCAACATATTTCACTGTGATTTGTGAAAGAAAAAGAAGAAAAAAAAACAATTTTAAATTTCAAAAACCTCTCTTTACTTTTATAGCCTATACATAAAGGAAATCTAGCGATACCAGTTTACTTTAGAAGTCACTTTACTGGTGTCAAGGAAATCAGCAGAGGGGTCAGGAGAAATGTTGAGAGGAGATTTAAAACAGGGTTAGGTTAGAAAAGTATTATGTTTAGAAAGCTATGCTTATATTATATATTTAGGTATTGAAGTTGCTCCATATCTGCACAGTATTTCCCTAACCTTCTGATTATACATTGAAGCTGATTACTTTTATCCTGATAAAAAGGGATATCTGTTTCAACCAAATTGAATCATAATGTAGATTAAATAAAACATTATAATCTATACCTTATAGCAGGGATGTCAAAGTCAAACACATTGTGGGCCAAAAAAACTAATTTGCTACAAGCCGAGGGCAGTGCTGGTTAAATGTTTATTAAAAAAAATATTGAAATGAACAGAGCCTATTGAGCCAAGAACTAACGCATTGCTTTTTTTTTTTCAAACAAAAAATTAATATGAATATTATTAATAAACTTATTAGGATAAATGCATAAATGAAAGGGCATGCATTATAAACTGAAAATGCATTACTGAGCTGCTCTATGATCATACCAATCATTGCTTTAAAATAGTAAAATAAGAAAAAAATATAATAAAGTCAGTTGTATTCTCTCTCATGGCTCTTATCTGCAGTTTTCCTTAGGTCCATTTAACTGAAAAATATGAATTAAAAAAAGATAAAATGCAAAAATCTGTGGCACACAGAAAAATCAATACTTCCTTCAAAGAAAAATCATATTTTGTACAAATAAATGTACAAATTTTAGAGAAATCTGCTGTTACAGACTAAGTAGAATGCACAAAAATTACAATATGTAAAAAAGCTGATAATATACATCCTTATTATATCCCAATTACTGTAACTGTAGTTTAATGTGGTTCTACAAAGTACTGACTTGGAATGACTCAACCCATAAACATACCAAAAAATACATTGTTTTTTTTGACTTTCACTTGTGAAGAAAACTTAAAAAGCATCCATAATTTCCTTTCAGTTCACAGTTATGCAGTACTTTGGCATGGTCTGTGAGAGGGGTTTTCCAAAAAACACATTTTATTTCTTCACTCATAAAAACAATATTATGTTCATTTTTAAACAAATTACTTTTTAAAAACAACATCTAACATTTTAATTCATCAATTTAAATGTATTTCTAATTTGTAACATTTTATTATTTAACCTTTAATTGTATAACTTGGCTGTATATTTTATGTTTGAATTGTGTTTTGAAATAAATAAATAATTAAATTATATATCTGCTTACTTAATGGTACATTTATTTATGTTGTGGGTCATTCACATTTATGCATTTCATGATATACAGTATTTGGGCCTCCATATACCTCAGGGAGCAAATGGTGATGTAAACCATTTCACACCATCATTTTGTGTCTTGGGGCCCCCTGGGGGTCCCTGTCACGGCTAAAATCATCCATACCATCTGCTACTTAGCACAACCACAATATCGAACTTTATGAAACAAGACAGACATCTTTCCTTCCTATTTATAAAAAGCATACTAAACTACACTGTATAAAAGGTTAATAAAGACTTTTTGGAGAGAAAAAATGTGTTGATATCTAATGCGCAAGTCCTCTATATTACGGTCTCCTGTCCGTCTGCATCCAGATAGTCTCGATAAATCTTAAATTCATTGTTAACTCTTTATCCGAGTCTAGATAAGCATTTGTGATATTTATTGGTGGCTGCAATTTTGCTTCATTCCTGTTTTAAGTCAGCTCTTAGCTTTGTGAAAAGTGAACAAGAATTGCTTTCCATAAAAAAAAAAAAGGCAGATTTCTGGAACATTATTGAAAAAGAAGTAAATGAGATAAGAGTTTTTTTGGCAGCAGACACTGTTTTAATCTCTTGGCGTGCTGCTGCTGCTGATGGGGCTGCTGACCTGAGACTGCGGGAGCGCGGGCGCATGTGGGGGGAGCAGCGGCCCCCGTCGTCATCTGTGATGCTCTCAGTGCTGCCAAAGTGCTTGGATAAGAAGTGGAGCTCGTCCATGGTGGGCTGGGAGGGCAGCTGGTTCAGCCTCTCCTGAGAGGAACTGGAGGACTGGATAGAGAGAGAAGAAGAAAGATGAAGGAGAAAAATATAGAAGAAACAAGGAAAGGAAGGGAATTAGAGGGAACAGAAGGGAACATGGCAGACTAAGAAGAATGTTTGTAGAAGTGAAGCTGGAATGGGAAAGATTAAACCGGAATGGGAAAGATTAAAAAGGTGACATGCCGGAAAACTGGTAGCATCAAAAGCTGTGTGTGAAACATGTGGAAACTGAGGCATAATTAGCGATCCTCTGAAAGCTATGCAATTACAGAGTGTCAAGATTACTTATGGGGTCCAACAGCAGGATGACAGGCCAAAACTGAAACGTTAATGAAGTCTTTCTTTGAGCCTCAATGCCACTCCTGAGTCTGTCTATCACAGACTGTGTGCGAGGTGAAGCCAATCAGTGGCCTTCATCCAATTATTTGTCTCACTAAGGAGTTGATCGCTGATTTATCACAGGTGACATACTAATTTAAAATGGAATAAATGGATGATGAAGGGAGAACTTCATCTCTGTCTTCTACCCCTTGTTGGAAATTGTTGTAAATATCCAACAGACCATTTGTATTACGTACACAGCCAAGGTAGCATGTGTATTCCCGCTGTGCCAGTTACTATCAATGTGGATCTAGGAACCATTACAACTAGTTCCTCACGGTGTTATAAATTTTACCAGTGTAATGTGTAATCTATTTACATTTGTGTTTGTTTTAAAATTTTTTTTTTTTTTTTTTTTTTTTTATACATACACTATATTGCCAAAAGTATTTGCTCACCCATCCAAATTATTGGAATCAGGTGTTCCAATCACTTCCATGGCCACAGGTGTATAAATTCAAGCACCTAGGCATGCAGACTGTTTTTACAAACATTTGTGAAAGAATGGGTCGCTCTCAGGAGCTCAGTGAATTCCAGCGTGGAACTGTGATAGGATGCCACCTGTGCAACAAATCCAGTCGTGAAATTTCCTCGCTCCTAAATATTCCACAGTCAACTGTCAGCTGTATTATAAGAAAATGGAAGTGTTTGGGAACGACAGCAACTCAGCCACGAAGTGGTAGGCCACGTAAACTGACGGAGCGGGGTCAGCGGATGCTGAAGCGCATAGTGCGAAGAGGTCGCCAACTTTCTGCAGAGTCAATCACTACAGACCTCCAAACTTCATGTGGCCTTCAGATTAGCTCAAGAACAGTGCGCAGAGAGCTTCATGGAATGGGTTTCCATGGTCGAGCAGCTGCATCCAAGCCATACATCACCAAGTGCAATGCAAAGCGTCGGATGCGGTGGTGTAAAGCACGCCGCCATTGGACTCTAGAGCAGTGGAGACGCGTTCTCTGGAGTGACGAATCGCGCTTCTCCATCTGGCAATCTGATGGACGGGTCTGGGTTTGGCGGTTGCCAGGAGAACGGTACTTGTCTGACTGCATTGTGCCAAGTGTAAAGTTTGGTGGAGGGGGGATTATGGTGTGGGGTTGTTTTTCAGGAGCTGGGCTTGGCCCCTTAGTTCCAGTGAAAGGAACTCTGAATGCTTCAGCATACCAAGACATTTTGGACAATTCCATGCTCCCAACTTTGTGGGAACAGTTTGGAGCTGGCCCCTTCCTCTTCCAACATGACTGTGCACCAGTGCACAAAGCAAGGTCCATAAAGACATGGATGACAGAGTCTGGTGTGGATGAACTTGACTGGCCTGCACAGAGTCCTGACCTCAACCCGATAGAACACCTTTGGGATGAATTAGAGCGGAGACTGAGAGCCAGGCCTTCTCGTCCAACATCAGTGTGCGACCTCACAAATGCGCTTCTGGAAGAATGGTCAAAAATTCCCATAAACACACTCCTAAACCTTGTGGACAGCCTTCCCAGAAGAGTTGAAGCTGTTCTAGCTGCAAAGGGTGGACCGACGTCATATTGAACCCTATGGATTAGGAACGGGATGTCACTTAAGCTCATATGTGAGTCAAGGCAGGTGAGCAAATACTTTTGGCAATATAGTGTATATAGCCTATAAACATGCATATGAGCAGTTGTTCTTCATCGCAAATTGCACACCCAAGTTCTGAAATGAGAATTAACTCTGTTTTTCTCTTAATTCACATTAGTATATTGATGTGAATAATTTATTGATTTCTTTAATTTTGTTGTAAGTTTATGGTTAAAATACAATTAAACTGAAAAATCAAGTTAGGACTTTTCACGTGAAAGTATAGGTGCCGCCACCCCCCTTTTACACAAAAAAATTATTTTTGTTCTTTTAAGAAATACTGTACATTTCCTGAAAAAGCTGTAAATTAACAGAAATTGTTTCAACAAATGTGGCATGCAAAAGAATAAAGGACATGGTTGTATCCCAATGTCTTCCCTAATCACTATTTAGGGAACTCTATAGCCATTATCCCATTTTAAATGACTGTCTGAATGTTTAGTAGATAAGAAAGTAGTGGACTCAAAATTTCCCACAATGCAACTTGAAAAGTACTGATCATCGATGTTCACTGGACTAGCAAATATATCCCATTGCTTTGCGAGAGCTCTCCTTGCAAAGCATCATGGGATTTATTGTGGTGCTGACAAATACATGTAACAAAGATGGCAGAGTTACGTGACCAACGGGAAGTGAAAAGTAGCGATCATCTGTCCAAACGGTCAGTTAATTGAGTTAATTATAAAGTCCACTATATAGTCCCTGCTCTATATAGCAATTGAGGGATTTAGGGGTTAGGGCGGACGTTCGGACACAGCCACGTCGCTCTTTTAAATGATCCTTTATTTATTCTTCACCCACCAGAAAAAAAAACAGCACAAAAGTTCCTACCCTCAGGTTGAATTATACTACAGCTACAGAAGATCTGTACCTCGAGGAGCCATATTGGATTGTCAGGTCAAGGTTGAAAAAGGATGTCTAACATTCTAACCTGGAGTTCTGACATTCAATGGCATTCAACCCCAAAGGAAATTCCTTAATAGATGCAAACCCCATACATCAGGGATAGGTAACTCCAGTCCTCAGGGGCTGGCATCCTAACGTTTTTAGGTATGTCCTTGCTCCAACATACCGCAATCAAAAAAATTATTACCCAGACTGGGGAATCTGTATACTGAGGATATAATTCAGCCGTTTGATACATTTGTGCTGGACCAAGGACACAGCTTACAGTTGCAGAACAGCGACCTCCGAGGACAAGACTTGCCAATTAACAACTGATTCAAATTTACAGGCTCTCAACAACAATTAAAATGGATGGAAAGTTTTTTATATAATGAATTAGATATGAGAGAAAAGTTTTACCGTTGAGCTGGGGGTGTTGGTGCCATATCCAGAGGAGGGTAAAGATGCTAAAGACCATCTTCTCCCATCCGCTCTGCAGGAAACACAAATATCACATCTGTTAAAATCAAATACAAAACATTTTGCAGTTTGTAGTATGACAATCACACTTCAATGCTTTTACTGTAATATTTAAGTGCTGGATTGATACCCATTACAGGATCAATCAAAATGAAAACATTTTGGGCATAAAATCTTAATTTTTTTAGTTTATGTGTTTGATTAATTCTGCTTGAGCCATTTTTTTGGTTTTGCTTTTTGTTTGTCTTTGTCTTCATTTTTATGTCTTTTCACAGATTATCAACTAAATTAATGACTTAATTAGACCTAGACAAGCTTATATACAGTACAGCATGATGCTGACACTTTCTGGTTCCTTATTGAGGTTTTTTTTTTTCAGAATGATGAACAGCATTAAGATGTCCATTTCCACTACACATGGTGTGTTGAATGCAGGCAATATATATATATATATATATATATATTTTAGTCTGATCTAATAATAAGTTACTCTCCGCCATTTTTGCCATGTTTCCATCTTGAGTCCTTCAGAACAACGGACAAAGTGGTTCCAAAACATTTCTTGCTGGGAGCTCCTTTGGTTTACAAGAGAGTTTTCATGACCATCCAATCATCACATCAATGATGACTAATCAGATTATACACCCCCATTCAACATTACAAGAAAATAATACATTCTGCTTTAATTTAATTCAAAACTAACTGTTTATTTTACTATTTAGCAGAACTGAACAACACTATCCATAAAAAAAACATTATAGGAAACATCGAGCATCCTCCACAGAGTGTGCTCAGTCATACGCTTCTCCAAATCTGCTGCAACACGGACCACTACAGGAGATCCTTTCCACCAAAAGCTATCAACATCTAAAAAAAAAAAAAAGTGTTTAGAAATTACTTAATTTACTTGTCAAGCTCTGCCATGGACCCTCCAGCTTCTATGTGCTTGTTTTCACCCAAATCAGAAGATGGTGCTGCTCTGCCTTTCACCTGTCTGTCTTTAGAAGTCAAGTGAACAGGCAAAGGGAGAGACTGAATTGTTATGAGTCACCAGGTCCAGTTGGTCTTAGTCTCAGAGTCCTGAAGGCCTGCACAGAGCAGCTCCGTGGGATTCTACAGCACCTCTTCAACTTTAGTCCACTTCCAGTGATGTGGAAGACCTCCTACCCTGTTCCAGCACCAAAGAGGACTCTGCCACCAGTCCACAATGATGCACTAACATCCCACATCATGATGGTCAGTTGGTTCATCCCAGCAAACAAAAAAACAGCTGTAGCAACACCTGCAGTTTGCTGATTGCCGTGGAGTTTGAGTTTAAGATGCCATCATACACCTGCTTCAACAGAGCCACTTCCATTCAAACAAGGCAGGCAGCACTGTGAGCAACATGTTCTTTGATTGTCCCAATGCAATTAACATAATTAGACCTGATTTGTTTGGCTTGAAAATTCAGAAGACTCAACTGGAGGCCTCAATAATTGCCTGGATGAAAGATCACCTCACAAACAGACCACAGCTTGAGAGACTGAAGGGTCAATCATCCAGTCAGCAGCAGAGGAGCCCCACAGGGGACGGTACTTTCACCATTCCTTTTCACTCCATACACCTCTGACTACCAGGGCCAGACAGAATCCTGTCATCTTCAGAAATACTTGGAAGACTCTGCAGTCATTGGGTGCATCAGAGGTGGACAAGAAGCTGAGAACAAGGAGCAGGTTTTGTGAAATGTTGTGGAAACAATCATCTGATCCTGAATGTAAGCAAAACAAGTGAGATAATTGTAGATTTCAGAAGAAACAGGGACGAGACAAGACAGAGGATATTGTACTTTCTGGAGGGAACTTGGGCCTTTGATTGCAGAATGATGCTACATATCTTCTAAAAGTATGTTGTGGGAAGTGTGATCTCTTCTACCATCATCTGCTAGGCTAACAGCATCAGAGCAAATGACTTAAAGCTCAATAAGCTGATAAAGAGTGTTCTATTCTATGAACTTTTGTAGAACCTCTCGGGATGATTTCACACTAAAGATGTCTTCATAAAATAAAGAATATTATGGGAAACATCGAGCATCCTCCACAGAGTGTGCTTAGTCAAAAAAAAACAAAACAAACCCCTAACAACTGTATAATGTATTAGAATATTACAGAGCAAACTAAGGACTTATTCTGAATCTACTCTTAATAAGATGAGGACTGGTGACTCATTTAATTTACTTTTGTACAGCTCAGTCCAATTGTGACAGGCAGGCAGACAGATTTGATAAATGAGGGTGAAAGATTTGCAGGAGGGCTGAGCCGCTAGAGACTCTACTGGCAGCACCATGTCTGGATGAGAGGCGACAGTGATGAATCCAAATCCAACTGGACTTATTCAAACATATCTCTGCTTTTGGAAAGTGTCGGAGCTTAATCATATCAAAACTTTCTTTGTTTATTAGTTACAAATGAGTCCGCCTGCTATTAGAAAGTAGCAACATCCACCAGCATTACATTTTCATGTCATATTTTAAGAGATCTGAATAGATTATTCAAAGTAAGCAGGGATGCATTTTTTTCACCAGAGGTGAAGGGATAAGTGTGAAGAGGCGAGGCGTTTAATTTTGACTGGCTGGCTTAGGCAGAGGTTGATTTCAGGTCCCTCTTTCTGTGAAGAACATCTCCACTAAGCTCTTTTCAACACAACTTTGGTGGAATCTGGCAGAAATTCTAGCTATAAGACGATCGCAGATAATCAGTTATTAGTTACAGACATGTATTTGTAAACAAATCGGATCAGAAGGTAATTACTGTATGTTTCTTTGTGGTTCTTCTTTGCACTTTTACAGATGAAAATACCCTTAGGCGTTAAGCTGGCTCTGTTTGGGCATTCTAAGTTGCTCAGTTTAGGCCTGACAAGCATTTTGCCACATGCAAAGAGTATAGTGGTTTGCTGGTGCTGCTCCGGTTAATATTTACCAATGCTAAGGGCCTTGCTGCCACCTAATATTAGTTCTTCTAATTTCCAGCCTCCAGTATCAAATATGTGAATCTTTCCTGGTTGGGGAGGCAAGGTCAGAGCATCATTTGCTGCTATAAAAAATTAAAAGCTGCTTAACTCCTATTTTATAAGATAGAAAAATACAACAAGACGATATGTTTACATTGAACAGAAACTTTGTGACTGGATGGATTTATTCACCTCTACGAGGAGGTTTATTGTTGATGTATTTTGTTTTTGCCATCTTTCAACTGGGGGACCTGCAACATGGTGTTACACCATACTCTGTCATCCATTAGATATTACGACTCAGTGGAGCAAAACATGTCTTTCACCATTAACTTCTGTAGGTATAGGCAGAGCCATTGAAAGTATGGGTCCTGTGAAGTTAGGCTTGTCTTTGCTAGGCAGAAGTTTACAGAGGCATCCGCAAGTATGGTAAGCCATTTACGATATAATGGCTAGATTCAATATTCAATACTTATATATGCAAAGTATTCTTTCCTAGTCAAAACTCTTAAGAAACATAACTGTTGTTAGACATCTATTATTAGATGGTAATCACAGTTGACAAAGTCGGCTTTTACGAAGTGGATACGACACCAAAGGCTGTTTTCTTCGCCTGACTGTCCACAAACTTCCTGAATGTTACGTGCTCTGACATGTTGATTTGCTGGTTAACCTCTAGAGGGCAGCAGTACTGTAGATGATCACTAGGAGGCGAGGAACTGTGCTAGTGTGGTGTGTAAAAGGAACCAAGCTCGGCACGGTTAACTGATCCAAGCTCAGTGCCGAACGTTTCTTTTAGAGGGTATTGTAAATGTGGCTTCTGACCCACCTCTTAGACATGAAAACCCACTCCCACAGAATACCACTCTGGGTCTCTGAGCAAGACCCTTAACCCCTGATTGCTCCCCAGGGGCCCCACAGTGGCAGCCCACTGCTCCCCAACGGGATGGCTTAAATGCAGAGCTAAATTTCTCCAATGTGAGATCAATAAAGTTCAATTATTATTATGAATCTAAGACATGGAATACCACTAATTTGGATTAAAATATATGTGTACATTTAAATCTTGAAATCAAAGCCCCAGAGCCTCTTTATAAGCATCAACATTTATATATGTGAATACCCCTGACCACCTGCCTATCCCCCCTCAGATTTATAGGTATAAATATGAACAAATATGCACATTATTATACATATCAATCCCAACAATCCACAAAAAATGAATAGCAATAAAGGTGGCTCTCTCTACTAAACCTTCACATCAAGACTGTAATCAAGAGACTGTGTTTACCATAAGAAGGGGTCACACCTGGTATTGAATAACTTCAAAGTGCCCTGGAGAGAGAATAAGCCTCTCAAGCTTCAGATTGTAGAGTACTTCCCGGACCCACTTGATATATGAGGAAGGATGGGCAAGCTTCCAGTAAAGCAAAGTTAACCTAGGGGCCAGAGGGGCTGTAAATGGAAGCTTTAACGCCTTGGGCAAGTTCATATGATTTGGGTAATGGGCTCTCTACCAATTGAATTCAATTCAGGTTATTTATATGGCACAAATTCACAACACATGTTATCTCTTTACTTTACAATTTAACCATATCATACAGTCAAATTGATCCAAATTTTTCTATCTAAGGAAAACCAGATGATTGACTCATTGACTCAAATGCAATCCCTCACACTAAGCATGCTTGTAGCGACAGTGGAGAGGAAAAACTCCCTTTTAACAGGAAGAAACCTCCAGCAGAACCAGGCTCAGTGTGAACGGCCATCTGCCGAGGCCGACTAGGGTTCAATGAGACAGAAGCAGACAAAAAGCAGCTGTCAACCAGCTCCACAGGCGGTTCGTCCAGGAAACACACAGCCAGGCAGACAAGCTCCGAGTTAGCTCCCATGTCAGAGGATGAAGAGAGCACATCCAGCCGGTCACAGTCAGAGAAACAGGACTACACTGAAAAACAGGCAGAGCTGGAACATCTATAAAATCTACAAACAATGTGCACATGTATACGATAAACTAACCAGAGATAATGTGGAACCCAACTGCTGATCAGTTAATTTGCTATCAAGACTACTCCCCAATGCAATTTTATCTGCAGCAGACAGCAATGAGTTGGACGCGCACATGGAGTTGTCTTTATTGAACTAGAAATTTTTTTATTTGTCTGGATTTAATTACTGAATTTATATATTCATTTTGAATTTCAGTGTCAATATCCTGACTTATTGAACGGTACAGAAATGTGACAAAACAAAGACCTTCTGGAAGAGGCGAACGAGAAGTGTGCAGGGTTGCTCGGGGAGAAGTTTCTGGGGCTGTCCAGTGGGCTGCTTCCTAAGGGGACAATGAGAAAAGGCAAACATGCATCAGAGAAGGTCAGAGATGACAAAGCAAGACAGACACAACCTGCAACTCACACTAAATCTCTGCATCAATATGGCAATGTGACAAAGTTTAAGACCATACTATTGATTTTAGGAGCTCAAGTTCATTTTGATGTCACCGTCTCCCTTTAACGCTTTCCTGGAAGAGAGGTTTTAGTACAATGCTGACGGCTGAACTGACGAGACAACCATTAAACTCACCTAGTGAGTTTAAGTTTTGTATCTTAGTCCACTTAAATACAGAAACATAATAAAACAACAGCTGTAAAATAACAAAAACAATGAGTCCTGGGCTTAGGGAGGTAAACCAAGACTTTACTTAGGCCGTCATTGCCTGGAGGTACCCATGGTTGCTAGACAACGTTAGCATAACAACCATTTAACCACCCTCCTCATAGCCCCTTGTAAAACCATAACATATTATTTGTCACACTTTGATCTCTGAACAGATTTAAAATATGAGGATATAAAACTGTATTCACATCACTTTAAAGGTGCTGGGAAACAGATCAGCTTGTAGTTCAAGAAGGTCAGGCATTTCCATCAACATCCCAGCTGCAGTTTCTAACTTTATATTTACAATACCAGTATAAGAAAGCTCTTTCCTCATACAGTAAGGCTGCTACAGTGTTTGATGTATAGTCACATTTCTGTTGCTGAATAGAAACGTCTGTTTTTATAAAGATGTCATTAAAAATAAATAAATCTGATCCCTGTTCCATAAATTATTTGGGATGTTCTGCAACAGAAAGCAGAAAGATTTGACCTCTGCAACTGGATCAGGTTGGATCATTTCTTTACAGGCCTTGCTCATACCTAACAAGTCTCCCAGTTTACACAGGAGACTCCCCATTTTTAATGTTATCTCCTACCAAGCTCTTGATTAGTAATTCATCCCACTAATATCCTGGATTTTTTACTTAAAGGAAAAAGTACGCTTGTTGGGGATATATGTCACAATGGGCCGGATCTATCAAAGGTTTGCGTGTATAAAAACGTGAGCTATTTCACTGCGCACGCTAAAAAATGTACAAACTGATCTATCAACAGCGTGCTAAAAGGATTTGGTCTTTAAAACGTGCTAAATAGCGTCTCTTATCCATTTAGTACTTTTTCTGCAATGAATATGCAATATGGGGCGTTTACACGCAAAAGTGTGTCTTGTGGGAGGAGAACATGTAAATATATTAATTTAGCACTCGCAAAGTGATTTATCAAACCTGAAAGCAATTTTGCTAACGGTATCTGACTCTATATTTAACACGTTTCAAAAGAAGGTGCAAATGGTCTGTATGCGTAATTGCGCACACATGGCAGCGTTTATTGTCGCAAGAAGGAGACATCGAAATGAAGCAAGGAGACCCAGAGAACGCATTTTTTCACTCCGTGTGAATATTTTTGGAATGAACGAGGAAACGATCATCAAAACATATCGTTTATCCAGCATTGCCATTTTGGAGCTGTTGGGGGAACTCCGAATGGATTTGGAGCCAGCCACAAGGAGGACCCACGCAATACCCGATATCACAAAACTCCTTGCAACATTGCACTTTTTTGCATCTGGGATCTCCCAATCTCGTTTTTCAGAAGTGCTGTCCGACGTTCTAAATGCCATGTCGCCCTGACGCCCTACCAGAGAACCCCAACCTCTGCGCCTGTGGAGCAACATGCCAATGCTGCGGGGATGCTTCCGCGCAGTCATTTCATCCACAGTCCCATTGTGAGCCATTTGGTATGTGCATTTTTCTACAGGCCAATACAAAACACCTGTTTTTTTTTGTTTTTTTACTGCAGTGAAGTAGAAATTCAGCCACATACCACCTTAGGGAATAAAGGTTGCCAAAGTTTATATATATATATATATATATATATATATATATATATATATATATATATATATATATATATATATATATATATATATATATATATAATTTTTTTTTTTTTTTGGAGGGGGTGGGGGTGCCACTGTAAGATTAAAATTTCTTAATGCACTAGTTTTCACAAACTACTTTGCCGCAAACCACAAAACGCGCAAAACCATCATTTAAATAGGGCGTCTCCAACAGTTTTGCACCTGCCACCAGTTACGCAATCGCTCTTGTTAAATCACCCGCAAACCATGGTTCAGCCCCTCGCACAAAATTCCAGTTTGCGAGCGCAAATTACTGCACGCAAAATTGGATCTTGATAAATCCGGCCCAATATCTGGCGACCCCATTTTTGGACATAAAATGTCCATATCTGTATATTGGTTATTTTATTCTCCAGGTGCACAGTTTTATATTGTTGAAACACTTTACAGTACAGTATTTTATTGATTATCTTTTAAAGTCATAGGGAAGCGGCCGTTCCAACCGTTGCATTTCCGAATTCTCCCAAGTGGTGCACGACTTTACACGAGTGAATAAAGTGAATGTGATTGGTCGTTTATCAAGGGGGCGGGATTGTTGTGGCGGAAGGTTTGCAAGCAAGTTTGGTTGTGGCTGGTTTCTCAGACGCATCTTTCTAACCAGTTAGCAACTTAGTGCTAGTAGATTCCCAATGGAAAATTCCATTGGGACCAAGTAGCACTAAATTGGTGACTTGGAAACGACACGGTCAAGGAACGCTATGGACAGAGGAAACATGCAAGAGGAGGGGAGTTTTGTGTCTGAGGTCGTGGTTGAGTCTTCTCCATTGTACATTTTCTATTTAGAGGAGGAAAGCGGGGACGAAGTTGTTGTGGAAGAGGACGCCATGGCGGCAGAAGCTTGGTTTGGTGTAGAAGGCTTACAGCCGTACATGTTTGAGCCCTTGCCTCGCAACGCTGCCAGTTCTGTTAGCTCTACGCCTGCTGAAGACACAGACGTCCATCCCCTTGAACACTGGGACGGAACTCAATGGGAAAGGAATGATTCTTATTTCAACAGTTGAGTATATTAGCTGCGACGTATGAATCAAGATGCTATCACCGAAAAAATTTGATTGACAGATGACCGTCGGTATATGATTGGCCGAATTTAGGTGTACAAGCTGAAGTATAACTAACTGGCCTGCATAAGATAATGAAAAAAATCCCCACACAGATTTTAAGACAGGATTTCTTTAAAAACAGACATTTTCTAAATTTTGGGAAATATCTTCTGATAAAGAGTACACTTATACACATGTTCAAGCCAGAATGATTTTACATTTAAATATGATTTCCCTACGACTTTAACTCTTCACTATTATGTTATTTTTATACATTTTTTGTCGGGATCTGGAGATCTGCCACCTGTCTCCAGCAGAGAGCGCTGTGGGCTTCCTGAGCTGGAGTCCTCAGCACACCTGGGGATCATCAGCTCATCAGAAGACCTCCCTACATAAGCAGCAGTCAGACCTTCCTTCGACGCCGCAGTGTTGACCTAGTTTGGTTAGCGAACCTGAGCCTCTGAAATCTTAGTGAATACTAGTTGCCTCTTGAGAGAAACTAGCCTTCTAACTTGTTCTTGTCTTCTTTGCTCGCAGAAACCCGACTGAAGTCTGAAGCTCTGGATGAGCATAACCTGGAAATCTACCTGCCTGCCCACGTAAGCCAAACCTGAAGATCTCAGTCTGGATTCCTCCGTCAGTTCTCTGGGAAGAGCTAGGAAACAAACCCAAGTCCGAAAACTCTCTGGCTAGAAGCTAGACGCTGCTGCTGCTGAGCTCTCTGCTACTTCCACTGTCTCTGGACCCAACCGGTCCCCCTCTCAAAGGATCTGTTAGAACCTCTTCAAGATATAAGAGTAACCAGTCCCGGACCTGCACCAGAACCAGTTCCTGATTAACTCTGTGTGTGTTTCCCTAATAAATATTGTTAAACTTTCCTCTGTCTCCGTAAGTGTTCCGCATGTGGGTTTTCGTTCATTAAACCAATCATGACATTTTTCTAAGGTCCACATTTGTATGACATTTTTTTCTATAATGTTTTTGCTGCTTACTTTTCTGTACATCATGAATGTATCTCTGCTTTTATCAAATTAAACATTTTGTTTTTCTTCTTTTTTTTATTACATGAATTTGAAGTTCAGGTTCAGTGGCTGTGGCAATTATTCCTTTAAATTTTGAAAGTCACTTTTTAATTTTAGCTTTGATTTTCACACACTGAATGTATGTGGAGTTCTCTCTTATTTTAGGAAAGTGACAGGAAGTAGTTTCTTGTTCTTCTGTGAAATTTGCAACCTACTAAATTAGCTGATTAAACTGTTTATAGTATATTGGTTTTATTTTTTGTCTGAAGTTTTTCTATTCAATCAAGCCAGTAAAACAACAGCAAAAATCAAATCCCTCTTAAAAATCAACCCAAAAGTCAAAAACAGTGGTCACTGTCAGATGGTTTTAAACTCTGCACATACCAATGTGTCCTGGGAGGGGAAGGGGGGAATGAGGGCGAGGCAACGTGGGAGAAGTGGTTGTCAGGATCAGACTCTTCCTGTTGCTTGTGCGGCAACTGCAAAGAGAGAAAACAGGAAGGAAAACGTGTGTGAAGTTATACCAGCAAAGTTTGTCTTAGGATAGATCTCTGTGAGTGTGCGGTAGCTTTGTGTGCACTGTGCAGGAGACTTGTGCCATGCATGGCTCATTCAGACGACGCAAGAACAGTGATAAAGAAAATTTAATTTCCTCAGACATCCATTCCGCCTGGTCTCCTTGGAGCTGACATTACACATTAGGAGGAGGGTGGAGAATAACAGGAAAAAGAAATAAAACATAACTGGGAAAAAATGCAGATCTTCTTTTCTTTGGCCTCATGTAAACATATCGAACCAATTGCATCAAACCTGGACTCATCTAATTCACACAGTTTCAGACAGTGCCAGACAGCAACCTTTTGTATTTCAGAAGTCGTCTACTCTGATCCAACCTCCTTCTTTAGCTGTGTCATTTACTCTGCAGGCTTTTTCAACAATGCAATGTGCTTTGCACTCCTATGCAGCATGGGAGAATCATCTCATCTATTCGTTTAAATAAAGAGGAAGCTGGATTCCTCCTCTTGTGTCTCATCCTTGCCTTTGTCACATGGGCTCACATGTGAACCGGACATGCTATCTCTGCAAAGCTATCCATCGACAATGACTCTGTGGAGACGTGAGCTCAGTGTGACGACACCAGAGCGGTGACACAGAGATGCTAAGAGATAAGATGAGAAAATTAAACTCCATCATAAAATATTCAATATGTAGAAAATGTAAAAATGTGTCAACATCATTTATTGTAGTAATACTTTTCAAGATGTTTTAAATGCATTTAGACAATTCTTAATCAAACATCTAATATATAATGAAAGTAATTTCTAAACTGAGAGACACAAAGGACAAAAACTCCAGCAGACACACACCCATATATTGTCTTCAATGTATGAGTGTGCAGAAAAACTCCATTCCAAGATTCATGCTCTTAAAAGCCATAGCTATCACTTTTTCAACAAAAAGATTCTTTTTTTTAATATAAGACAACCACAGAACAAATAAAGCAGAAAACTGTAAAATGGGAACCCCCCCCCCCAAAAAAAAAACAAAAAAAAAACAGAATAATTCAATTATTCAATGCTTTAAAAATACATATATTTTAATCATGCATATAATTACTTTACTTTAAATGTTCAAATAAAATAAAATATTTATGTATTTTAAGGGGAACACCAGCCTGTTGCATGGTTACTTTTGGGGTCACAGCTTGAAGTTTTTAAGAATCCTGATCTAGAGTGGTGCAAAAATAAAAGTATTAATATTACTTTGAAAAAAAAAGTATATCAGTAATACTTATATATAAAATTTTGACAGATCTAAAATATGTTGACATTCAGAGTTGAAGATTCTGCAACGATAGCAAAAGTAGGTTAAAGTTATCATCCATACTGAAAGCAGGATCTTTATCATTTAGCTCCTTTGTGCACGTGCAATCAGATATTCATTCAGATTGCCATAAATAATGTAAGCATGGTACTGAGAGTACTAATTTCTATCCTTCTAAACTAATCTAAACTACATCCTATAAAAAATATTTAACTAACTTTCTGAGAGAATTGGATACGTTTTTTATTCTCTCTGTTAAATTGCTTGTCTCACGTCACCATCAGACATGCTCAGAGGAGTCTGGCAAAATATGATTGCACTGCGTTTATCTGTATTTTAGTTGTGTCTTTCATTAAAATATGCACTATACAGCATAAAGGTGCACAGACAGGCAAATATAAAACTCAAAAAGACTAGATTTATGTATGAATCCAAAGTCGACCGGAATGAGTGTAGGATCCCATTTCTGGGACAGATCGAACACAGACGAACAGACAGGATTTAAACGCATCTATTTTCTCAATAAACAGTTTAGTTAAGTACACTTATTTTTTCAAGGAGACAAAAAGATTATTTTAGATTTTTTTCATGAAGTGCAATCAACGGTGACCTGGCTGTATTTCTGACTGCGCATGCCCAAATAATCTGATGGTTCGGACTGTGTACCTGGATGGATTGGGTCGTGATAGAAGACATGTGAGACAGAGTTCACAGTATCTCCCAGTAGCTCCTAACAGAGCTGAGAAATGTCTCCAGCATTACATTTTTCACATTCAAACCAAAAAATAAGAATAAAAATATGGTTGAACATCAATTCAAGATTTAAAGGATTTGTTTCTAGATGAGGGAGCAAAGAGGATCAGAGGTTACTGCATTTCTTTTTAACTGGTAAATTAAATGTTGAGTTTGCTTTACATCGCCAATAGGGTGGCAAACAGTATAGAACAAGAACAGCCAAGTATGCAAGTTACTGGCCAGGAAGTGTTAACGCTGTAGCCATCACCTGTAATTCAATGCAAGCAAGTGCGCTAACATGCAGCCAATCAATCTAGAAGAATTTGTTATAATGCTTCGAAATAGAAAAGAAGCAGGAGAGGTTATCTCTCATATGGTTTTCATAAGGAGCCTTACGACACGCCAGATAATCTGACTGCACCCAGTTACTTATACTATCATCTAAATGTCATTTTAATGTAAGAAAAATTAAAGCAGCTTAACTTTTAAGTTAATTAAATTAATTAATTTATTTGACAGGGACAGTGTACATTAAAAAGCATTCTTGCAAATGCACCAGAATTAGCCAAAAGGCTATTTTTCAGCTGTTGCCCCTGGACAGATCTTAAAATTCTCTACCTAAAAAAAAAAACCACAACAGTAAGCATTCTGCAATGAAAACTACAAATATAAAAAGAAATAAAAACAGCTATAACTCCTCAAAACTGATTTAAAATACAGAATAAGTGTTCGCTGGACTACTGATTTTAGGTTCATAAAATAGAATAAAACAGAATCACAAAGTAAATAAAGCAAAAGCACATGTAATCTATCTAAAGCTCATACAAGTTTGACCTGTCATGCAAAATAAATATACCAACAGAATGTGATAACTCAATAAGTAGTGCAAACTTTTAAAGGAAAAAAAAATGGAAGTAAAAAAAAAATTATCCTGTTGTGAAAACAAAACCGGGAAACATCTGGTGTGCATTAGTATCCACCCTCTTTAATCTGAAACCACTGAATAATATCACCAAACAAACAATCTGTCTTAATCTTATAAATCCAGCTGTTCTGAGAAGACCTCAGAGGTTTGTTAGAGAACATTAGTGAACAAACAGCATCACGATGACCAAGGAACACAGCAAACAGCCAGGTCAGGGATATAGCAGTATGTAGGTTTTTTTTTTTTTTATTAATCTAAAAAAGTATTTGGCACAAATTCAAGCCTATCATAACTTGGTAGATTTCCTGAACTGACAGATAGGGCACAAACAGCAGTAACTTTAAAAGCAAAAAGTTCCCCTTTTACTGGTGCATTCCACAAAATAAACTTTATGATATTATAGCAAGAAGGAAGGTATTTTTGAAAGAAAAAAGGGAATCTAATTAAAAGTTTCCCAGAAAGCTAAGCAGGTTATGAAGCCCATTTAGAAACAGGGAATGTGGCGAAGGGAAAACAGCATGGAACTTTCTGGCAACTAAACCCTACATATAAAACACTATGGGTCTGATCTTAAAAGATTTAAAATAAGGGCAGGTGCAATAAGTGGTGTGGGAGGTCTACAAAGACTGCTACTAAAACGTTAAGACATGCAAACCCGTCTGGTTCAGCCCATTAAAATGTGCAGGTTACGTTACGGGAAATCTAAGAGTGGCCATAAAAAAAGATGAGGTTTTAAGCCAGGTTATAGTGATAATAATTATTTGAATAATAACTGACAATACTCATCTACCTATAACATTAACATTATTCACATGTGGTTAAAAAAATAAAATATAAATGCAGAAAAAATATATAAATAAAAAAATACAATTATAAGAGTAAAATAAAGTTGAAGTTAAATATAAAAATGTAAAAAATCATGACATATGAGTTATCATATAACTTGATAATGCCCATCCAATTTAACCCCTTCATTGCAGCTCAGGCTGTTTAGTTTCTGTCCTGCTGGGAGTTGAACCTCTGCCTAACTCTCTAGTTGTTTTCAGCTTTTAACCAGTTTTTTTACTAGGCTGCCTCTTTATTCCACAAAAAAAAAAAAAAAAAAGACGATATGATGCTGCCACCACCATTTTTTATAATGCAGATGTGTTCTACAGGGTGATTGAAGCATTGCTTTTTGCAGAATTTTTTGTGCCCCAAAGCAAACCATCCATGTTTCCTATGCCCCATGCATCTGTGATGCCCCTGCTTGGTCCTTAGTGTCCACTTCCTGTTGCTAAACACCAGATTCTGTTCATCGTACCATCATTGGTTCAGCATGAGGAACTCGGATACTAAGGATTTTATTTTTGGTGAGGTCACAAATGCACATTAGTCTAAGACTTTACTCAGGAAGAAATAGTTGAAGACCATGCATAATTTTTCTTCAGTTCCACATGGCTCCACATTGAAGGCCGTCTTTTCCATCTATGTAACAATAATATTAAAAAAAGTTTGCAGATATGGAAATAACTATGCAAGAAGATCAATTGGAGGATATTTGGGAGAAATGTTCCCACACGGTCAAAATAAAAACCGCTCTTATTTGATTTTTGTTGTTTTTTGATTTCCTTTTTTTTTTGACACTTTTTCCTCACAATTGTTGCCTTTGTATGGAACAAAGAAATCATTTTCTATTATGTATTTCTATAAACCCTCTCATTTTAGTTATTTCCTGAGGGTAATTCAGAAACCATTCCAAACTTGTCTCCTTACAGAACAATTTGCTGCCAGTTTCCTCTTCCTGCTGTTGACGTTTTGTTTTGAGATTTTGCATTGTGTCACCATTAGATCATTTCTTTTGCGTCGCCTCCTCCTCTTCCTCCCCTCCTCCTGTGGTCCCTGGTTAGTATTCTCGGCGGTCTCCCTGATGCGCTCTGCGTAGCAACAAGCTATCACGTGAACAAGCTCCTTTGTACAACATTCCCTCTGGGCTTTTTGTTTTGTCTGTTCTCC